AACTCAACACATTGAATAACTCGTTCTGCCGATTTGTGCTACAATGTAATTACAGGACCCACCATTGTGACATGCTAAAAGAACTAAACTGGCTGTCGCTGGAATCCAGACGCACCCTTCATCTTTCCAGCTTTGTGTTTAAGAGTTTTCCTGGGAAGCTCCCACCCTACCTGAACAAAATGCTTTCCCCGGCTGTTCCCACTTCCTATAACCTCCAATCCAGTACCAGCACTTTATTTAGCCTACCTCAATACAAGAAAAGATCAGCCCGATCCTCCTTCTACAGAGCGCAACAATTGTGGAACGACCTCCCGCACAATTTAAAATCTTCCCCAATACTAAAGTCCTTTAAGAGATCCCTCTCTACATACCTCAAAACAAAATGCACCTGTCATGGTTGATTATATATTTCCTACCTGTTCGATGTTAAATTTTGTATTTATTGTGTATTAATATTGTTTTTGTATTTTATTGTACAATAATGTAACAATGCAATGTTTTGTGGACCCAGGACATACTTGAAAACGAGAGAAATCTCATTGTATCTTTCCTGGTAAAATATTTTATAAATAAATAAATAAATGATGGTCAGGCCCCGCCCCCCAATTCATATGGATTTTAACTCTGTGAAACGACATTGGACATCCTCGGTAAGCATTGATTTAGTGCTTTCCTATGGGAAAGCCCTATTGAGCGGGCCTTGCATGTGGTTACAATGCTGCCGCCCATCCCATGTGTTCCCTATGAAGGGTTAACAAGTATATAGGGGTGTATATAAAAAATACCCCTTTCTGTCTCATTAGAGAGATCTTTGCCAGAAGCTCAAGGAAGCAAGTTAAAGGGTCAGAGTAGGACCTGTCTAGGGGGATCAGCCTTGACGTTGGCAGGCGGGCATTCCCTCCAGTGGCCATTGGAGTAACTAAATGACCTCCATTTGTTTAAATATACATAGGGATTAAGGAGAGAGCGCAGGTAACTTATTTTCTTTGTTTTTTACTATATGTATTAGCTGATGTGTAGTAGTCATTGCAGCCGCCCAGGAGTGATGGGAGTGAGCGCAGGACTTTTCTTTTTGTACTTGCATGTGGGAGGATAAGACAGAGCCAGTGCCAAAGCACTTCGGCGCAGTGATTAGGTAAGTGAGAGAAGGGGATTTTTAACCTTTTCATGATGGGGGAGGGGAGAGTGAAAAGACAGAGGGACACCATAGTGTTAGTTATACCATATTGCATTTCTAACACTATAATGTTCCTTTAACTTAATATTCATATTTGTTCAAGTTAACACATTTTTTTTATTTTTTGAACCTTTGTAAAGGATCGTTAGACAAATGATATTGCAAGATTCATCATACTACATAGGAATGCACTGCACAGAACATAAATGGAGATCTTAAACCAGTTACCCATGTGGTAACGTCCTTGGATTTGAGCGTCTGTGGGACTTAGAGATTTTTCTTGGTAAACACTGCAATTCAGACAGAAGGGTGAAAAAACATTTAGGCATAACCAGAAACGGAATAAAGGACAACGCAGGTATAACCAGTGATAGGTCTATGATCTCTGCAGGAACCATCAGCGATAACCAGAAAAAAAGAAGTAGTCAAAATGCTAAGTGTCCCAGCTGTCAGACTAATAAGATGTCAATCTAAGGGAGCAATGGCTCTATACAGGCCTGAGGTCGCTGGGGCTCAGAGGCTGGCTGTGGAACAGGTGGCAATGGCTGCGTACATGTTATACAGATATTGTGTGTATCAAAGGGCAACTACATAAGGCAATGTATAACTTTGAATCAGTGCAGGTTAGTGTCACCAAAGGTGCCACGTACACTGATAATTCCCATGTATATGCGCACCGTGCATTTCTTGGTGCGAGGGTGATCCACTTCCCCCAACGTGAGATCTCAAAACAGGACCACGTTAAAGTCAATCTGATCTGATCCTGGGAAACTGAAAACTGCACTGATAACAGTGAATCCAACAAACATTTGTAGCCAGGTAGATGCACATACGTAAGACTCCTGTTGTTTTGTTGCCCTAATTGGATAATCCTAATTAAAACATAAAATAGCTCTCATTTTACTGGATAATAATGTAAAGAAAACCATCATCCTGCTCTACATAGATGCAGCATTTATGAAATAAATGTTACAATACTATGTATTTCCATCTTTCTCTGATCCCACATAAGACAAATTATATGTATGGCTTTAATCCAAGTCCTTGTCTGTATACAATGCTCAATAGAAGCAAATATTATGTTGCTTCCAGTGCATTATCATCATCAAGTAAACTCATTTGCAGATTCATAACTAGAAACCACGGGGCCCCGGAGCAATTACACTGGAGCCCTCTCATGTGTCCCATTCTCCCCATCCCCTTCAAGTGTCTCATTCCCCCCCTCCCTAGCTCTTCCATGTGTCTCATCCCACACCAGACTGCCTATGTGTCTCAATTCCCCACTAAGCCCCTCCATGTGTCTCATTCTGTCCCCAGCTCTTCAATGTATCTCATCACCCCCAGACCCTCCATATGTCTCATCCCCACTCAGCCCCTCCCTGTGTCGCATGCCCCCACACCCGCCATGTGTCTCATTCTCCCCCAGCCCCCCTTCCGTGTGACTCATTATTCCCCCAACTTCCCCATGTGTCTAATTCCCTCATCCCCTCCATGTGTCTCAAAACCCCCCTAGCCCCTCCATTTGTCTCATTCTCCCCCATGTGTCTCATTCCCCCCTTCCATGTGTCTCAATTTACCCCCGCCTCTCCATGTTTCTCTATTCCCCACAGCCCCTCCATGTGTCTCAATTCCCCACCACCCCCCCATGTGTCTAATTCTCCCCATTCATTTGTCTCATGGTGGGGCTGAGGGGAATTAAGACCCTTCCATATGTCTCAATTCCCCCCAGCCACCTAAATGTGTCTCATTCCCCTCCAATGCGTCTAATTCTCCCCTTTCATGTGTCTCAATTTTCCACCAGTACCTTCCATGTGTCATTTGTCCCCCCCCCAGTCCCTTCCGTGTGTCAACTGCAGGGCTCGAGTCCTGCAGGAACGTGTGGGAACGGCATTCCTGCACTTTTTCCACAGCAGGAATGCTGTTCCTGTTAGTAATCCTGCAGGACCTGCCCTTTGAAGAAGGACTGGAGCGTGGAGAAGGAGCGTAGGGGCGCGCAACGCTGCGTACTAACGTAATGTTGATGTGCTCCGCCTCCGCCTTCATGGTGTTTCCCACAGTCACGGAAGGATACACTGTGACTGAGGGCCTCTAAAAGTACAGCAGTGCAAGAGCAGTTTTTGTAAAAGGAGGGCAGGTATTTGTAGAAGGGGGCATGGTTTTTTTTAAAAGGGGGGGGCAGGGGTTTGCTAACCTGATTGATGCACAGACTCACAGATGGGCAATCTCACTGATATACATACGCTCATTGACATAAAAACACAAGCTTACTGATGCACACAAATAGGCTTACTGACAGACTATCTCACTGACACACACAGACAAGCTTATTGGTATACAAACAAATTTAGTACAGACAAACTCTGACATGCACAAGCTTACCACAGACAACCTCACTGTCACACACACATGCTCTCTGACACCCACATGCTCACTACAGACAAGCACACTGTCACACATGCTCACTACAGACAAACTAACACATACATGCTCACTACAGACAAGCTCACTGTCTATATATAAACATTATTTGTGTCGTTTTCAGAAATAACGAATTCTCTCTTTTTTTTTTTTTAGAATTTCTGAGGAATACCAAATAAATGTACTGCAAATTCATGTTAAAAATGAATATAATCTCTGCAAACAGAAGTGATGAATAAAAAAAAAAAAATCTTCAAAAATATTTATTAATAAAAAATAGTCAGTGCTTTTAATCATCATCAAAAGTGGTGGTCTGAGCCAATCACAGTGCTTCCCCATAGGATTGGCTGAGACTGGCTGAGTGGCCAGTGAAGTTATCACTAGGCTGTAATGTAAACACTGCATTTTCTCTGAAAAGACAGTGTTTACAGCAAAAAGCCTGAAGGTAGTGATTCTACTCACCAGGACAAATGCAATAAGCTGTAGTTGTTCTGGTGACTATAGTGTCTCTTTAATGATTGGGTTATGTTTGATGACAGTGCAGGGTATCTACTTTCCCTCCAAAGATTTGTCCCATTTTCTCATTGTACACAAATTTATCTTGGTCTACATAACATTTTTCATGTTTGCTCCTAAATAAAGACGCACCTGATAGTTTTGTCCTGCACTTTTATTTGTTTTACATTGTGACACTGATGATGCTTTCACAAAAGAGGTGGAAGAGTACACCCATCAGCCGGAGTCGCGTTTTTCTGAGACAGGTCTTTCATTTTCTTTAAGGAATAATAATAATAATAATAATAATAAAAAACAAACAAACCTATAATATTACTTATTTTTCCTCTTAATTTGTGAAATCAATGGTCATATCATTAGGAAAAAAAAGGATCAAAAAATACAGAGAACTAAAAAGTGACAGAGAGATGGATTATTTTGTCAAATTACAGAAAAGGCAGAAAAAAATGTCAAGTAACAGTTTTATACATAAGGAAAATTGTGAATTCACACAAAACTAACGCAAAAGGGAAAGAAAACATATATTTTATATAAATATAAACATTATTTGTGTCGTTTTCAGAAATAACTATTTTTTTTAGAATTTCTGAGGAATACCAAATAAATGTATTGCAAATTCATGTTAAAAATGAATATAATCTCTGCAAACAGAAGTGATGAATAATAAAAAAAAAAATCTTCAAAGATTTTTATTAATAAAAAATAGTCAGTGCTTTTAAGCTTTCAGATTAACCAAACAAAATAAATAAAATAAAATAAACCCAATCAACATGCAGTAGTTCTATTTAGCAGGAGACCCTTAGCTTGCAGATAGAGTGGAGCCTCTACAACCATAGAGTTGCTGCAGTGGAGACAAGCGCTAAAGAGGCGTTGTGTCTCTTTTGTATAGAGCTCTAGAAATCGAACTACGTCATTTCCCTGCGCAGCAAGCTGACTCGCTACCCCTCCGGTCACCTCTGTGTTGGTCAGTGAGGTTGACATGTACCGAGCTCTGAGCACCGGCAGGCAGCAGGGGGTGAGACACCGGATATATGGCGGCTATTTACTAATACAGGAGTAAAGTGTGCATTATGCAGAGAGATAACAAGCAAACTTTATTCAATTCCCAGCAGCTTTATGTATAAAGACACAGACAGGCACACATTATATTATATAATATATTATTTATTTATAAAATATTTTACAAGGAAAGATACATTTAGATTTCTCTCGTTTTCAAGTATGTCCTGGGTCCACAAATCATTGCATTGTTACATTAGGGTACAATAAAATACAAAACCAATATTAATGCACAATAAATACAAAATGTAACATAGAACAGGTAGGAAATATATAATCAACCATGACACGTGCATTCTGTTTTGAGGTATGTAGAGAGGGATCTCTTAAATGACTTTAGGGAAGATTTTAAATTGTGCGGGAGGTCGTTCCACAATTGCGGTGCTCTGTAGGAGAAGGAGGATCGGGCTGCTTTCTTTTTTTATTGAGGCAGACTAAATAAAGTGTTGGTACTGGGTCGGAGGTTATAGGAAGTGGGAACAGCCGGGGAAAGCATTTTGCTCAGGTAGGGTGGGAGCTTCCCAGAAAGGCTCTTAAACACAAGGCTGGAAAGATGAAGGGTGCGTCTGGATTCCAGCGACAGACAGTTTAGTTCCTTTAGCATGTCACAATGCTGGGTCCTGTAATTACATTGTAGCACAAATTGGCAGAACGAGTTATACAATGTGTTGAGTTTATTAATGTGGGATTGCAATGCAAATGCAAATACTACATCCCCATAATCAATGATTGGCATAAACATTTGCAGTACAATCTTTTCCTTTACTGTAGAGCTTAGGCATGATTTGTTTCTGTACAGTGCACCTAGTTTTGGATAAAGTTTAGATGCAAGCTTTTCTATGTGCAGGCCAAAAGATAGATTGGGGTCTAACATCATACCCAAGTATTTGAAAGAGTGGACTGCGGTCAGTGTGCCATTTGAATTTGTTTTGATGGATAGGTGGGAATTGTGTAATTTAGGTACTGTTCCAAAGATCATTTTGACAGTTTTGTCAGTGTTCAGGAAGAGTTTGTTGTTTGCGATCCACTTTTCTACCTTTTTAAACTAGTCTTGGAGAACAGCCTCAAGCTGCGGTAGATCGGAATTGCTTGCATAGATTACCGTGTCATCTGCGTACATGTGTACATTTGAGGATTTGCAGACATTAGGCAGATCATTTTATAAATAATGTAACTAATAGGGGGCCGAGAATGGAACCTTGGGGAACACCACACGTGACTGGGAGGGGGAGGGAGTCGCTGTCAGAAATGGACACATATTGCGAGCAATCCGATACATACGATCGAAACCAGTTTAGCGAACGATCACCAATACCTGAGTTTTTGAGTTTGTGCAGTAGAATGTCGTGGTCTACTGTGTCAAAGGCCTTAGCAAAATCAAGGAAAATAGCTCCAGTTAGTTCTCCTTGTTCCATGCCAGTTTGGATGTCATTGCAAACTTTTAAGAGGGCAGTTGTAATGGAGTGATTCTGGCGAAAGTCCGATTGATCAGGGGTCAGATAGTTTGATTGTTGGTAGTACTCACATAGTTGCGTATGGAAACCAAAGTAGTGTCACCACTTTTATGGATAGTCACTACTCTCGCAGTCTTCCAAAGTTTGGGTATGTATCCAGACACCAAGGATTTGTTAATTAGAGTTGCGACGGGTTTAGCAATTGCCAGCGCACTGAGCTTCAACAGCATTGCTGGGATTTGATCAGGTCCGGACTGGTTTTTCATTTTTAGATTATTAAGATGTTTTTCAATGACACTAACAGGTACAGGTCTAAAAATGAACTTGTCTATATTGGGACTTTGCAAATTTGCTAATATATAGTGTTTATATTCTGTATATAGTGTTTATATTCTGTATATAGTGTTAATATTCTTACCTTATCACTTTCTGTTTGTTCTTTATGTGATGGGTTGTTATATTGTCTTGTAAGTAAAATTGTATTTAAATTGATAGTGAGTGAATTTGGTGTGAGTCCTGGTTTATGTTTGGATTTCTGTATTTGTATGTTTTACAATGCAGGACACAGTGGGACAGGGACACTGCACCCAATGAGATGAAGTGGTCTGGGTGCCTATAGTGGCCTTATAAAGTGGAATGGTAAAATTGGGGGGCGGGGGCGTGAGTGGGGTAGGTAAAGGTGCATTTACTTACCTGAACCTGTCCCTTGCAGGCACCGCCATCGTGATCCAGTGGGATCCTCTTCAGCGTGGACGTCAGTGATGTACTCCCGCGCATGCGTGAGAATACACCATTGAAGTCTTGTGGTGGATCATGTGGCCTCCATAGACACAGCCAATTAATCAGTGATGGCTGCAGGGATTGACTCTATAGCTCTGTCTTGTGTCAGTGAAAGTCAGGTGGAGTCATGTCTCAGCATCTCTCTTTACTGGTTTGGAATTTCAGTGAAATTCCAACACGGCCATAATGAGTATTTCATAAAGATTCTATCTTTATGAAATATAATTTTTTTGAAGGGGAACTGGGGGGAGTGACAGTGCTGCTTTAAAGTTATGTTTGCATGCTACACGTCAGCATAACCAGCCTTTTTTTTTTTTTTTCTCTCCTTAGACATCTGTCCTGCGAAGGCTTCTCAGTACCTTGGTTATTGCAGAACATGACACCAATCAGGTGACACCAATAACTCTAAGTGCGATCTCTGCTGCCAAGAAACTAGGGGGTGATGTGTCCTGTTTGGTTGCAGGGACCAACTGTACCAAGGTAAGTGACATTCCATTCAATGTAAATTGACATGTCTTTTATTACTGTAAAATTGTGTAATAACAGGTTAGCTTAAAGGTCTGCCATGCTGGCAGGATCGGCCTTAATATTCTGTGATTAGTCACTTTTACATAACTAGTCACTCATACCTTATTAGCCAAATAGAATGTACATGCACATTTTGCAACTGTAGATTCTCTATTAAACAACTATGGAGACTCATCAGCACACATACAAAGTTATAGTGTCCCCAGGTGCCATGCTTCCATTCAGCATTAATCCATTTTTAATGTTAAATGAGAGTTCCCAGCATCCCATCCACTCTGTGCTGATTGGCTATTGAGGGAGCATTATTAAAAAGGAGCTAAAGAATATGCCTTCACAGGACACATTCCATCGCAACTCTGTTTTAAATTCGATTTCTCTATTCATCTAAAATAATAAAAGTACAAATTGTAGCATTGAAAGGCTCCAAACATGCTATTTTCCCAGAGTCTATGCATTTTGGGCTTAAAGGGACACGCCATTCACCCAGACCACTTCTGCCCATTGGAGTGGTCTGGGTGCCAAATCCCATCACCCTTAACTCCCATCACCCTTAGTTTTTATAAACTGCAATAATTACCTTGCAGGGCTAAGTCCTGTTCTAGTGGCTATCAGACAGCCACTAGAGGGACTTCTGTGTTCTTAAAACACAAAAGTGTTTTAAACGACGCTGGACGCCCTCACGTTATGATATACCTGTATCATTTGAGACAACTGTCTATGAAAAGGATAGATAGATATATGTATTTTCATTTAAAATTCACTTTGTAGACAGAATTGGATTGGTTGATTCCAATCGTCAATTCTGATGATCTCAGCCAAGGAAGTGGCTGGGAGCAGATCCAAACATCCCCCTGGCCAATCAGCATCTCCTCATAGATATTTATTGAATCATTGCATCTCTATGAGGAAAGTTCAATGTCTCCATGCAGAGGGTGGAGACACTGAATGTCAGTGCTGCGGCCCAGGAAGCATTTCAAGTAGCCACTTGAGATGTCCCTAGGCTATAATGTTTACACTGCATTTTCTTTGAAAATACAGTGTTTACTGCAAAAAGCTGCAGGGACTGGCTATATTTACCAGAACAACTACATTAAGCTGTAGTTGTTCTGGTGACCATAGTGTCCCTTTAACTGTTTTCGGTGATCTTTACACGTAGCCTATTTTTGTATTTTTAGGTTCTCTCTGTTCAGTAAATATTGCAGGATGGCCTACTCTAAATGTCCCTTTTTGTATTTACAGGTAGCTGAGGAACTGGCAAAGGTGCAGGGAGTGAACAAACTATTTGTAGCTCAGCATGATGTGTACAAAGGATTGCTACCAGGTAAATATTGTATCTTATATTGGGTTTTACACTGCACCGGTTTACACATTTGCATCCTCCTCCTCCTTATCACCTCAGTGCTTTCTACTAGCCTTGATCTCCTCACCATCACTATTTTATATTGTATGCGTAATTATTCAAATGCAATATGTATCACTTCATAAAGTATACCATGTAATCGGTACATTGGGTTTATAAATATACAGGTGCTATATTTTTTTAGGTTATGCTCTGTGGAATAAAGTTATAAAAATTAGAAATATGGGTGCCGTACAGGATGCACATTGTCTACTACCTCCATGATCTTAAAGGGACAATCTAACGACTAGTCATTACATTTTGATGAAGTGGTTTTGGTGTACTCATGCTGTCATTTTTTTTTTGTTTTGTTAATGTACAATGTTGTTTCTTAAAATTGGCAGTGTTTACATTTGTAAGTTCTGCTGAGAACCCTCTTTTAGTGGCTGTCAGACTTTGCCACTAGAGTCACTTACTCCTTAAGACTTTCAATTTTCAGAAATCTTCACGCACAGCATGACAACGCTAAAAGTAGCTAAAGGTTTACCAAGAGAATCATTAGATTCAGTGCTACAATATGAGAAGCACTGGATTCACAGCACTCATCAATTTTTTTTTCTTTAAACCTCTTTTCAATACTGAGGCTGTCTTGGTGCTGGCCAGCAGCGTGCACGCATTCAATCAATGCTTTCCTATGGGGAACATCAAAGATGTTAGCTGTGCTCATGCAAAAGTTTAGGACATCCAATGTCGGACAGTCAAGGAAGCGCCTCTAGTGGCTGTCTGGAACACAGCCACAAGAGGTGGAGTTAACCCTGCAGTATAATCATTTCAGTTTCTCAGTAACCATAATGTTTTACAGATGAAGTGGTGTGGGTACCTATAGTGTCCCTTCAATATTTATTTATTTTAAAAATGTCTGTCTGACATCCTCTAGAGGTGTGTTCTTGGTCAAATGTAAACATTTCCATTTCTAAGAAATTGTCTGAGCAAAGGGACCGCATCCGTGCACCTAAACCCACACATTTAGATGTCGCATGTGTGTATGTATATCTCTCTATATATATCTATATCTATCTTAGTTTAACATTACAGCCATGTGAGCTCCTGGTTTACACAATGTTATTTTGTTTTAGATTGCATTCAGAGTATAACTCAAAAATGAAAACAATACATAAAATGGATGTGTAATTGGGCTTATACATCCAACCTCTCTAAAAGCCAATAGATTAATTTACAAAGTGTTTTCTGTGGCAGTCTCAAAGCAAGTTGTGGAATAATTGTATTTTGCTTCCTGAAAGCAACACTTATTAATAATCACAACTGCCTTGTAAACTCATTAAATGAAGCAGTACCTGGTCACTTTTGTTGCTTGAGTCTCTTTCTTTGTGACTGAATTTTGAAGCTGTGCCGGTGATTATAGTTATTATTGTTTTTCCAGAGGAGCTGACACCATTGATTTTGGAAGCACAGAAGCAGTTCAATTTTACACATATCTGTGCTGGAGCATCGGCTTTTGGCAAGGTGAGACACATTTGTTTGTTAACATCTGATCTGCAAGTGCCACCTTCCCTCCTTCAGTGAGGTTTGAGGTGAGCAATTCTAGAACCACCGAATTCTAGACCTCTCTGTAGCAGTAGCCTGTTATGAGTATCTGTACCTCTCTCTTTTTCTAGAATCTTCTGCCCAGAGTAGCAGCGAAACTTGATGTAGCTCCTGTCTCAGACATCATAGAAATTAAATCTCCAGACACATTTGTCAGGACAATATATGCAGGTGAGACATATTTGTTGTATTTATCAAATGTTTTGACTATATTTGGAAAATGGTTTTGTATATTGTGCATGTAGCTACATTATACCTGTTACTGTTAGGTCGTTGTGACGGAACCTCCCATGCCACAGCCTTCTTGAGAAGCGTAAAGGCTAGCCTCCTGCCCACAGAATATGGGCCTGGTCCCAGGGGCCCCTAATAGAGACTGTTGTCCCTGTGGGTGAGGGACCCCGGATGCTTGTTGTATCACAACAGAATACCAGTGCCAAGAGAGCCTTTGTCTGCTTTTTTCTATTGTGTTATTAGTGCCTGTATGTTTTCTCATATGATTTAGATATATGTATTAAATTGAATGTGCGTGTATATATTTTTTGTATTTGAATTACAGAGAAGATCGTTCAATGAGCATGCCCAGTTGCTGTGCATTCCCACAGCTGCTTACATAGGTGTGGAAGAATGATGGGTTGCACACATTGTAAGCTTCCATGTTTAAAGGAACACTCCATTAAATATCAGATAAAATATTCACACTTTAGACAAGTTTACATGTAATTTGCTCTGCATGTTTTCATTGGACGTATAGAAATCTCAGCTTGGAATAGCTGCGTGCAAACACTCCCTTTCTTCCCCAGTACAGACTTATCAGTGAGTTGAGATGCTCTAAGCAATTGCCTGCCTTTTGAATTTAGCCCTATGAGAGGTGCAGAGGAATACGTAAACACCAAGATGAAAAGAAAAAATCATTGTTTATATATAAAACAATAATAAAAAAATTAAAAAAAACCCTCCCACCCATATAATTGTAGTGAGTCCCCTAAACCAATGAGGGTTTTTTTTTGTTGTTTTTTTTTTTTTGCGCTCAGGTACAAGTGTTTCTCTATGCCACTCCTTTGCTTTAGGATTGATTTCTTTGGTGGAGATACAGTGAGGTGGTTGCAGGACACACACTTTTTCTTCAAATTATTATTTTTATTTTTTTTTAGCAGTAAATAGTCAATCTATTGATCTGTGTTTTTTATTTTATTTATTTATTTTTTATGATGTATCTTCAAGTTGGCATTAAAAACACACGTTTTTAAATTAAAGATTAATAGGAATTAGGAAAAGATAGTCCTCAAGATTTACCAGTCTCTCTGAGTCCTCAACAGATTAAAATGCCGTGACATTTGTGAATTTCCATCCAGAATTTGCAGTGAGATGAGAAAGTACCACTGGTGACGTTCATTCGGCATAATCTGCAGTATTGAAAATCTAGAGTTGCCAAATCCATCATGGTTTTTAGGATTGATATTACTTCTTTATGCCGATGGCCAACACAAGAAGTACAGCTCTGCAGTATACAGTATTTATTCTGCCGCAGGAGGAAATGAATCAAAAACAGTGCGTTGTAATTAACAGTCATGGCTAATCTTTATGGGTTCTCCCTTGATTGAATTAATATATTATTATTATTTTTTTTTTTTTTTTTGTTATTTAGTTTATTTTTCTCCCCTTGCTGCAGCTTATACATTCTGCAGAACTGTAATTTTCTCATAAAAGTGACGCAGTCATGAACACATTGTGGATCTGGTATCCCTAGATCCGATCTCCCACTACCTGTGCAAAAGTCTTTTTCACGGTTTTCAGGCAGGGGCTGAGGGGTTCCAAGTCTAGCCCAATCAGGTGTTTTAATATTTAATTTTGCGAATAAAAAGTACTTTCTGGCATTTTAAACCATATCGACTGCTAAAACCCCATCTGATGTGCAGTGCAAAGCTACTGGTTACTCTGTAAATTTGTGTCTGCCCATGCTGACCTACTCTACACATCCCAATGGCTGTCAAAACACTGACTGACTTAGAGTAGCCAAATTAAAAGATTAGCTGACTTTATTTTAATTTTTTTAATTTTTCCAGTTTGGCAATTTTGACATTCACTTTAAATTCTCCTTTTCGTAAATAACCCTGATCGGTTCCAGCTCACGTCCCTGTTAGTGATACATATTGCATGCTTATTGTCACATTAAATTCCTTGAATCTTCTTTAAATATTTGTTGTTTTTCATTGTGTAGATATATTACCAACATTTCTAGAAGCACACATAATGATTTTGATTGATTTTAGCCACTTTTTATAGTGTATCATTTTTTGTATCTATGAATTCATTTCTCTGTTTTCCCACCCTCGGTTAGGGAAATATTTTTCCTGTCTACTTTAGCACAGAGCAATATCAAGTGGTTTCTTGCCTGCATGTCCCGTTAAATATTAATCCATCCTGCTGTTCTGGGAGCTCGTCATTACAACATACAAATCTGTGTCCTCAGGTTGAGAAATCCCTCAGGGTCGCCATTACATACATTCCTACTCCTCCAGCAATAGCCCGAGTAGAGCACTTGGGCTTGTTACGACAGGAAGATTACCTGCACAACCAAGCTCTAACAGTTCAATAAAAGTCATTTTTTTATTACAAAAATGACCATGGATTTGTGTACTGAAAAAATAAATAAATATATATATATATATATATATATATATACACACACACACAATTTAAATTTTTTTTATTAAATATATTTCTAAACGGATAGACCTCTAGGTACTTATGTTGGGCCACGCGAGGTTCATATATTTGTTGTAAAACCCCACTTTAATCATTTTTGTTGATTTTTAAGTGTTTGTCTAAGGGCTGTTTTATCTTCACCAGAAGATCCAGAACACACCTGATTGTGTGATAAACATGTGGCAAGCAAGGGAAGTATGAATTCTCTGCTGGTAGAAACCCCAATGATAGGGAAATCAGGCAGAACCATTGAGTTGGTTTCCACAGTGATTTCTCTAATTTTAGAAATTCGATCCGCAATTGCTTATTTTTCATAACCGTTTATAGGATTGTTATACAGATTGCCAGCTCTCTTAACCAGAAGCTTGGATTTCCACAGGTCTTAGCAAATGTACTGTGCTAGTTTGCCATACCATCACAGCTACAGCAGCTAGAACTGCAAATGTGTCTAAAGTTCTCACTTGAACTGGCCCCATGCTGTACAAGGGAATAGACTGATTCTTCAATCTTCAGGGCTCACTCACATACACAATTTGACTTTGCAGAGTGTCAGGGTGAGAAAGTAGTCACCCACAAGATGAAGGTGTTGGTTACAGCATACACATTATGGTGTTCTTTTTAGGAGTAATTTGTGGGTTAGTCTTTCTGTTAGAAGATGAGTTGTCCATTGTTGTGGGATGTGAGAAATTTATCTAGTATCGGCTATATCATGGTTCCAGGTGTGGAGAGGCCCTTCTATATCTAATTCACATAAGAGAGAGAGAATTAGATGAGGGTGTTGAGGAGATATATTTGTCTGAGAGCCATTGGAAGGTATGGATGGTGTTTCTTTTCCCAGAGATACTTTTCTGTTCACCTCTGCGCCATACGTGTAGGTGTATATGTGAAACCATGGAGAGATGGTTTCAGAGATGTGATGCAGATAATCCTGCTTGATATTTGTGTGTGTGTGTATGTAGAAGATAATCTAGTTGTTATTGATCCAGATACTATTATATATTGCATTATATGGCATCCAAATAACTGTTATCTGGTACTGGTATGAAAAAGATAGAAGTGGGGTGTCACTGTCACCCATAGATAAGGCCAAACACTGAGATGGAATTCTTTGACCAAGTTTGGAGAATAACTATGAGAACCCAGAAGAACGTTCGATAATTGATTTAGTTGCTTCTTATAATGTTCCTGCCCCACATGAAAACCCCCTATATTTGGGCATTTTTGATTAACCATGGCAAGGAGCTCAATAGCTATTGGAAGAGAAGAGGTAAGATGGCGGCTTGCCTAGTCCCATTAAAATTAGAATATTTCTGATGACCCAAAATAGCCAATATTGACGGTCTCTCTAAATCATGAGCAGGCAACCACCTACACTCCAAATAATGTGGACCACATCTCCCTGATGCTTTGCCAATAGTATGGCTGTAAGAGCATTGTGGGATATGTAGTCCACAGCATCTGGAGTGATGAAGGTTGATTACCTCTGCTCTAAATTGTGTATATGCTTTTATGCCAAGAACAAATGGACCAGTAAAACCAAAAGTCTCTTGGCTGAGCCCTAGGTATTGGCAGCCCATGCTGTCCACAATAGTAGGATAGGCTTAGATAAAGTTTCTTGATTCGATCTAGTTATTCTCATATTGTTGGGGTCCTCTATTCCAATAACAAATCAAACTTCTTTCAGCATGATTTCAAGAGACACTCTAATTTTAATAACTACTCCAGCTCATTATCGTTGTTTTGGTGCTTTGAGTCTATCAGCCCTGCCCCCGGTTTTCTGCGCGACCGTTTAGGAAATGGGTCCTAATAGCTTGATAGGTTGTGCAATTTAGATGTGGTGTGCCCCTAGTTTCAGTATAACTACAGTTTTAGCTCTGGCTATGTCTGAGAAGGTAAGGGATTAACAACTCTAACACTTGTTTGTTGGAATAAGAATAATTTAATTGGAGAACAGGAAATCATTAACTAGTCTTGTTGTGATTTATACCCATCAAAGATGATCTGTGTGTGATGTGTATATATATAAATGGGATTTGCTATGGGCTGAAGCTATACAAATGTAACTCCTCAGATAGTGATGATTCTTTTCTCCTTACTCCGGAATTCCACGCTGGAATCCAGGAGCATTGTGTCCAGGAGCATCGATCACCCACAATGCTCCAGATGTGCATGGCTCTTCATTTGCTTAGAAACTGCTGTGTGAACCAGTGCTCACTAATGCATTCCTTCCATCCTCACAGCACTACTGGGGTAGGTGCACAGAAGGCCAGGAGAAGCGGCCGGTCTCCTGATTCTGAGAGCCCTCCTCACAGCCCTGTTCCCCCCCCCCCTTTGGACCGAGGAATATCCCGGTCCCCCCTGGGTGAGCTAATGTCCCTGCAATCCTGCAATAACTACTTGCAACACGAATGATCGTGCAGTGTGTCCAAGTTGGCCGCTGCGCTGAAGCCTTCACAGATCCAAGCGGGACAAACAAGGAAGGAAAGATTTGAAACCAAGTTTGAGGACCTTTGCCAGGCGTTCTGGCAATGCATAAGCCGCTGATCCACCAACTCTGCATTGCCTGTTGCACTACCAACCCAAGCTGACAACTTGACGCACGGTCCCTCATCTGGGACGGGGGCCCATGTGGATGTACCTCCACCCCACTGTCCACCTTCCCAAAAGGTTCTTCGTGCACAGAAGCTCCCGCAGGTCCGCGAACCTGCCACCATGTGTAGGGATATCCCTGGACAAAGGGCAAAGGCCCCCACCAATGCCTTGGCTAGAGGAAAAGCGGAGTCATGGCTTTGTGGACTTAGTCCTATACACTTATATAAAGTACAACTAAATCTTGGGCATGGCGCGGAGATTGAGAGAAGAAATCTACCTGACATAGAGAATGGCTTAACACTCTGGCCTACCTTTGGTGACTCCCGGCTGGCAAAGCACCTGTGTGATCATAGCTCATGTCTTATGAGCAGAGATTTATGCTCCTTCTTTTTGTTTTTCACATTATCTTATAGTTTCTACCCAGTGGTATCACAGCTTGTTGGTATTATTTGACCTAGGTGTTTTAATGTTTTATAATGCGTGGCCTTACCCAGAAGCTACAATTATTATAGTCTAACATTGATAATCATACTTACCTAGAGTCTCCTAGTCTGCGATGTCTGAGCAAATGGCCTGAACGTCTCCCTACTCACTCATAATTCCATGCTAACATGTATGTCTATCATAAGCTAGTTAAAAGTGGAAGCACGCTATTATTACTTTTGTGTTTACTACCACACATGCCAGTTTAACATGACCTTTCATTACGAACCATACCTACTCATCTTCTGGCATGAATAGCACCATCCTGTTTACACATAAAAAGTTGTACAGTTTAGTCCTATGTCATACTGTTTGCTTTGATATGCAAATGGAACACAGGAACAGAGGGTTTGAGGGTCCTGCTCAATGAGCTTACATGCTAGAGGGACTGGGGTATAGTGACACAGAAGGGTATTAGTGGGGGCGATGAAATAGGTTGCTAGAAAAGTAATCACTGAGAACTTGGGTTATGTTTGAAAGTTGCCGGAAAGAAGTCATGTGGGGGGAATGAAAAACCTGCTAACAGTTTACGTGATATGCTTTCCTGAAGTATGTTTTCAGAGAGAAGTGGAGACTGAGTGAAAGTCATCAACCAATTAATTTTTTTCCCTCTTTTAATTTTTCTTACCTTTTGATTCCTGATCATAATTTTTGATATATTTTCTTCTGTAGGAAATGCCTTGTGCACTGTGAAATGTGATGAGTCTGTGAAGGTATTCACTGTAAGAGGGACAGCATTCGAGGTGGCTCCATCATCGGGGGGAAGTGCAAGCATGGAAACAGGTGAGAACCATTTTAAACGGATTAGTAACATCTGGTAATGGATACTGTCCAGTGTAGATAGTTATACAGGTATAAAGTGTGGGTTTAATTATTTACTTTAATATGGCTGATGAAAAAATACCTCTAAATTGTTGTTTGTAAGTTCTGTGGGTGAAAATGTCAGTAGGATGCCACAATGATTGCTATGTACTTATTATTGAATTGTATCTATGTCCCATGGCCCTGCCCCTCTTTTTGTTTTCTTTAACACAATCTCCTTCTAATAGCTTGGTGTACAGATAAAAGCTGTGAGCCCATTCAAGCTTCCCATCCAGGCAGTAATCAGACAGAGGTCTTCTTACCATAATATAGAGGCGATTAAAATTCTCCCCATATAAAGTTTTATTTCCACATCAAATCGTAAAAGACCACAAAAACCTCTTCTGGAGGGATTTTCAGATATGCGTAAATTTAGGGCCATCCAGCTATTAGTATTAATAATAAAGTATCATGAAAGTATGTAATCGCCCTACTTTAGAACTGGTTGGAGCGAACAGGTAGAACGTTTTCACGAATGCCTTCGATAGACAGAGTTCTACCGAGCAAATAATGAACACAATAATGAAAATCATACTTTTAAATTTGAATTGAGCAAATAAATTGGACCTTTGTATTATTTCAATTCATGTTTTTTTTTGGTTTTTTTTTTTTGTGCTCTATCTACTTTAACCCCTTTAAGGACCAAACTTCTGGAATAAAAGGGAATCATGACATGTCACACATATCATGTGTCCTTAAGGGATTAATCCAGAGACAAATCCCATGGTGCAATGCAGTCTCTGTATCTCCCAACCTTGCAGAATAGGTTCATAGCTAGCACTGTGGAGCATGCCATCACTCCTGATTTAGATCAGCGGCATTGTTTGCATGGTAGAGAACATATACGTTTATTCTAAAACATAAGGTGCACAGTGAGGGCCGATGCGTTTCTTGTTGTAGTGTTTGGTAATTACTGATATATTTCTCATATGTTTCAGTTTCAGCCACGGCACCGGTTGGGCTCTCAGAGTGGCTTCAGCAAAGTCTTACTAAAAGTGACCGTCCAGAGCTGACCAGTGCCAAGATTGTGGTTTCAGGAGGTAAGATGGACTGTAGAAATGCACAACTTAAGTATGAATATACAAAACTATATGTAGATATGTGCATTTAGCTGTCGGACACAGCATGTTATCCTAGCAGAGTACACATGGAGCTATTCCAGAACATAGAACTATATACTAAAGCGTATTACCAGTTTCAGTACTTCTACTGCCTGCCTAGAGCTAACCTAATGTTGTGTAATGGATTTAAATCAATATTGGAGCCCACACATAGAACTCTGGTAACTGTGTTTTTTTTATGATGTTCTGTGACTGTTTAGCTTTACAGCATCAGATTGTTGTAGCATTTATCACTACGTGGCGATACCTAGGTCTTTGTTACTAATACATTCTACTTTTTTATTGTTGTAAACATTGCTGTCACTGACTTGGTCATTGGAGTTTATTTATGGTCCTGTCTGCATTTACTTCTAGGCCGTGGACTGAAGAGTGGTGATAACTTCAAATTGTTATATGACCTGGCAGATCAGCTGCACGCAGCAGGTAAGGACCTCTATAAAATGTGTGTGTTTGTGTGTTGTAATATGTGTACATGCATGTCTTTCTAGAATACATTTATGTGCGTATATAAGTGGATATAGGTATGGAATTATATACTGACACTTTCACTACGGGGCACTTTTTGATTGAAGAAAGGGATGAATTGCTAGCATGTAAACATATCCTAACAGCAATTTCATGTATGGATTGCAAATGATAGATGGTAAATGTATACAATTTTTATTTTTCTCTTATTCGGTTATCCTTCATAAAAATATTGGGGAAATGAAATACAGATAGATCGATTATCGGTTCTAATATTCCGGATTTTGGCAAATATCAGTATCGGCCACTATTGATACCGATATTGACGATTAATGTGAGAGGCGGTGGTGACCCAGTTTCCTGTACTCGGCCGGACTGACAGGAAGTGCTCACTGAGAGAGCACTTCCTGTCAGTCTGGCCGGGTACAGGAAACTGAAGCTCCTGTTCCGCGGTCCCCTCCACCCGTCCATGCTACAAGAGAGGTAGTGAGGCACACCAGGGAGTATAGTAAATAGACATGTTCAATTAACAGTAGATTTGTGTAGAAATTGTTTCTTTTTTCAAAACGGTAAATGTAAAGAATATCAGTATCGGTAAGTTATTGGCTATTGGCCTGAACTTTCACAGATCGGTATTGGCTCTCAAAAATCAATATCGGTCAATCCCTAAAATGAACAACTGTAGTTAGTAACCATTGTCCTTTATCGTGCAATATTTCACACCGGATCTAGCAGTACAGCTTCTAAAAATGGCAAAAGAATGTAAAAAGAATGTCTGCATTTAAGCATAATATCTACATATAATTAAATCATATATGTCTAAAATAAAAGTATTACAATTTTTTATGGAATCTTTCGAATGCTAATGTAATGCTGCCAGTGAAATAAGAGTTCATTCACCGCCTCCCCTTTCTGACTGTAGGAATAGTATGACCCATTGAAATGTCCTTTAATGTTTAAAAGCAGGGAGTGAGATGCAAGTTCAGCAAAATACAGCAAATTTATAGTCCTTATACTAGTGGCTTCTGGCAGAGAAATATGTACCTCTACAGGCTTGTATTAATAAATGAGTGAGGCTTTATGAACTAGATTTCATTCTGCACAATACATCAAAATGTTTATGCTCGTTTTTGAGTATTGAAAAGTTAATATGGATAAAAAGGTCGTATTTTGAATAAGCTAAATTCCTCTTTGATACATCTGGTAGGAACTCCCGAGTAAGTAGCGACTTGGAATCATCCGTGAGAGGCTTCCAAAAGTGTTAGTCCTGTTAATTTCTTGTAGCACTTTTCAACATGACATCCAGATAAATATTTAGGGGTATAAATATACAATATAATTATATGCTTTATAATAATATGTATTCATAAATTGTATAAGCAGTCATACATTTAGGTCAGTAAGTGGAGTGAGCAGGGCACATGCCTTTATTTCTCCCAGTTTAAGCCATGTTCATATATCCTTTAATCCTCCTTCCCAGGAAGCTAAAACATTGCTCTACCCCTTTCCCTCCCCTGCAATATATGTTGGTATGGTCCATCATTCAGTTGTGCATGCCTCTCATTAATACATGTCTTTCTGTAGTGGGTGCATCTCGTGCTGCTGTGGATGCTGGCTTTGTCCCCAATGACATGCAGGTTGGGCAGACAGGAAAAATTGTTGCTCCTGTAAGTATGTTACTCTTTTTACTTTAGTTTTTGATTTATCGTACTTAAAGGTAAAAATATCTGTATACTTAACTCTAATGGCCGTTTCGCCGCTGCCTTTACACCTGTAAATCAGTATCTGCTTTTGAAGCCCTTACAGAGCTAAGTAATAAACACACCTCTGTGTCTATGGCCGTGCCATCACTCCAAGATTATTTGGTTGAACTCTGCATCTGCCGTGTGAGCGTATTGGGTATTCCTTCCAGTATTCCTTCAGTTTAAATAAATAATATTGAATGATGCAGAATTAAAGCCACAAAGCAGATAGCTGTCAGATTATGTAAAAGAAAATCTTCTTTAAACTTCAGTATTCCTCGAGAACTAAAAAAAAAAGTGGTTGGGCATTATGCGCCCATTTCGAGTAATGTTTCACTGCCATTTAATTTTAAAGATCTTCCCTAAACCAGCTCGCTCTGACATGGTGCTCAAAAGTCCTAATAGGAAATACTCACATGCATTTGCAGCTGCTATTGTCCATGATTAATAATAGGACTTGTGGTGAATTGTAAACACAGGCCAGGCCCATGTTAAAATATACTCTTCTTCCTTGAGGTTTGTGCCCTTGGACAATAATTCCAAAATAAAATGAGAGACCCTTGAGAAATCATGGTCCTGTTAGCCAAAGATTGCCATTATTCCTACATACATTTCTAAATCAATGCAACATTTTACAGGTATACAAGAGCAGAATAAAGTTTTATAAAATTTTTGGCCATATTTCAAGGCATGTTTTTTGGACAATTAAATGTTCTCCTACAATGTTCCCTCTATTTTTTTGTAGTTGGTGTGCGCATAAATTTTCTTTTGTCAAAATTTTTTTCTTGATCCAAAATGTGAATGTAAACCTGAAATTTGTTTCTTGATAATATTGGTAAAGCCCCTCTCTCATGGTTAATAACACTACATTACAGTATTACTGTAATGGCAGCCATTCCGACAGTATAGCCTATCTGCTAATGCCCGTTTTGGTCTGTCAGTCCAGAGGAAGCAATAGGGGGCAACCGTGCAAACAAGGGTATACACAATTTAAATAAAAATGGTGTTATATACACAATAAATGCTTCATACACATAAATCAAATCCAGCTGACATAATTCAAGCAAACATTATATGAAGAGGAGGAGATATGTCATGTCTTCATAGAATTTGGACATGGATCTTCTCCCTGGGGTCCAGTGGGGGATGGATCTCCTCCCTGGGGTCAAGTGGGGGATGGATCTCCTCCCTGGGGTCCAGTGGGGGATGGATCTCCTCCCTGGGGTCAAGTGGGGGATGGATCTCCTCCCTGGGGTCAAGTGGGGGATGGATCTCCTCCCTGGGGTCAAGTGGGGGATGGATCTCCTCCCTGGGGTCCAGTGGGGGATGGATCTCCTCCCTGGGGTCCAGTGGGGGATGGATCTCCTCCCTGGGGTCCAGTGGGGGATGGATCTCCTCCCTGGGGTCCAGTGGGGGATGGATCTCCTCCCTGGGGTCCAGTGGGGGATGGATCTCCTCCCTGGGGTCCAGTGGGGGATGGATCTCCTCCCTGGGGTCCAGTGGGGAATGGATCTTCTCCCTGGGGTCCAGTGGGGAATGGATCTTCTCCCTGGGGTCCAGTGGGGAATGGATCTTCTCCCTGGGGTCCAGTGGGGAATGGATCTTCTCCCTGGGGTCCAGTGGGGAATGGATCTTCTCCCTGGGGTCCAGTGGGGAAAGGATCTTCTCCCTGGGGTCCAGTGGAGAATGGATCTTCTCCCAGGAGTCTTCCAGTTCCTCATGCTGTTTAGTGATGCGGGCTGGAGTGGCATTATTATTATTATTATTATTATTATTATTGCCATTTATATAGCGTCAACAGATTCTGTAGCACTTTACAATATTATGAGAGGGGATTTAACTATAAATAGGACAATTACAAATAAACTTACAGGAACAATAGGTTGAAGAGAACACTGCTCAATCGAGCTTACATTCTATATGATCATAGTTTGGCTGTCGGTTTAACTTCAGAGGGCATGCAAGGGAGCAGTGAGGAACTGGAAACACATAATCAGTGCTTGCCGCCTGCCTCCTCTCCTCCCTGGTATATTTTGGCAGAGTGCCGTGTGGGATAAGCTGATGCCTACTCTGCATTACTGAAGAAGTGCACACTTCGTGCCCACTGAAGAAGTGCCCACTTTGTGGGCACCCTAAGGTAACCAGTCAGCCACCTAATTTGTCCACTATGACAGACTATTGATCTGCTCCTCACTGTGCCCTCCACACTCTGACGCCTATCATCTACTAAATAATTTCAAAAAAGGAATGTTGTTTAAGTCAAAGTATTCTTATTTATTTTATTTATTTATATTTATTTTTGCCAAGTGTACCCTGTGAAAGTTGTGCTTCACTGATGATCCATTAGGCAAAAAGTCAAGGTGAATCTGTGCTAAATGTATGGCTCTTTGATCTAGTCTTTGTGTAGTTCGTCCCTAGTTCAGATTATGCCGTATGTGTCTTTAGACACTGTTTGCCGTGTAGTAGGTCGTCATTCTGCCTTCAGAAGGGTTAATGAGCAAGATTAAAGGGGGATACAAACTGTGCTGGCCAAATTGCTTTTATATTTAACCCCCAGGGAGCAGAACATCAACTGCTTTCAGCTAAATGCACTGACATATGAATATTTTACAGCAATTTAATGTTTTTCTGGTTCCCCAAAGGACTTGCGAATCAATTTGTGAACGCTGTTCTCCTGCAGTTATGGGCTGAGCTGGATAATTCAGTATGAAAGAGGCTGTCAGCCCAGAGCTTTTTAAAGGGCTTAATAAGAAAGTAAAATCCCCCCACCCCACCCCACCTCGGGCCCATTCCCCTCCTCCCATCTGCTTAAAGTTTTATGCATAGGATTTTTTTCACACTCTGTTGGTCCAAAAAACATTTCTGTTTAGGTTCTTATCTCATCCTACACCAGCTTTGCGCAATTTACATTTAAACCAAGATTGCTTTAAGATGACTTTCTTAAAATTGTATAATTCCTAACTATTAAGGAAATGGTGTATTTTTTTTTTTTATATACAATTAGCATTTGGGGGTTAAATTTGAATGAATGGTGGTTTATCATACGTATGGAGCATGGTTTCAGAGAGTGCTGGCTACAGTATTCATATTACAAAATCCAGTCTGAAATTGCACTTGTAATGTAACTTTTTAAATCAAATATTTTATCATATATTTGAATACTGGCAAATGTGAACTAGTTTCCCCCCCCATTCTTTATTAATGCCACAATCGGACATTTGATTGATTGACATATAGTGTACAAAATAGAAAGGTCACGGTATAGAATGCACACATAGAAACAACAAGAGGTCTCAAATCCTCACGGTATCCTTTAGATTGTAAGCTCACTGGCTATCTAGCGACGCACTTTGTATAAAAGAGCTTCAATGGCTAGTTATCAGCTTATCGATAGCGCTCTCTCTACCTCTTGCATTTCTCTCTGTATATTGTACATTCTCCACTAATTGTACAGCGCTGCGGAATCAGTTGGCGCTTTTTAAATACCACTAATAAATAATAAATAAGATATAAGCATGTCTGACTGTGGGGGTTTTAATTTTGTTTAAAAAGTGTGTTGAACCACTATTCAGAATAAATATCCTAATGTAAAAGAATGGTAATTCTCCAAGACAGTAAAGTTAAGGAAAAGTAGAAACTGTTTGCCTTACTAGTAAGCTAACATAAACGGCTCCCAGAAGTAAATTTGACTAATGAGATCGTGAGTCAGGAGCTGGGGGAGGGGGATTTTAAAAGGAGCGAAGGAACAGCCTAAATGAGACCATGTTTTGAAGGGAAAGCCAAACATAGTGCTTCAGGAGGCTAAGTAATGTTTTATTATGTTATATGATTATTTCTCTGTACACGTGCTTTTTTTTTTTTGTGAAGTGGCAATGTATAAAGACAGTTTTCAAATTTTTACCCCATTGGCCCTTAGATCTGTCAGTTTAATTTATAGACTTGTTCTTCTTGGTTACATTGATATTTTTTCGGGGCTCAAAATTTGAAGTCCTTATTTAGTAGCCAGGTTTAGAAGGTAGGCGGAAATACAAACACACTCAGCGTTATAGCATGTTCATCCGTGTGTTTTGTATACAGGGTCAATGTGTCTGCAAATGCAGTATGGTGAATGCAGAGTGTGCGTTTGTGTAGTGTGTGTGTGTATAGTGAATGCAGTGTGTGTTTGTGTAGTGTGTATATAATGAATGCAGTGTGTGTGTGTGTGTGTGTTTGTGCAGTGAGTGTTTGTGTAGGTATGTAATGTGTGTAAAATGGACTGGGGGGCATTTTTTTTTTTTAATATATATATATATATATATATATATATATATATATATATAAATAAAAATATATATATAAAAATATTTTTTCAATTTTGTTTTATTCCCCCCTCCCTGCTTATTACCTGGCTAGGGAGGGGGTATGGCATTCAATTGGGGGGCCCAGCAACACTTACTTACCTTCCCTGTCTAACTCTCGCTGCCTTTTGCCATGGTAACCTGTGGCAACGCTTTGACGTCCGCGTGACTCGCGAGCAGGGGAGCTGCTGGAAAGGTAAGTAAGAGTGTTGCTTGGCCCCCAAGGACTCCCACGAGCCCCTCCAGGACCCTGATGTCGGCCCTGGTCTGCATTATCGGTATCTTTATTGGTCGATATCGATATTGCTGAAAGTACAGAATAACCGATAATCGGTTGATCCCTAATTGGAGGAACACATTGCCTTTGTGACAGATTGCTGTCTTGTTGTATGATAGTTAAATTGCAAAAATGGAAAAAGAATTGCACTCAATTCACTTAAGACATGGTGCTTAGCTGACCAGCACAAGCCCAGAAGATAATAAATACCAGTATTAGAAAATAGGTCCAGGCACTCCATTGTCTTCAGGTACCTTTATAAGAACAAGTGGAACACTGCAATGTTTTGACACCCAATGGAGTGTTTGTCAATATTGTTGTATGATAGTGTCATCCATCTTACACATGCACAGTCACGGTGGGGACTAGATTGTGAATGCTTGCCCATTAAAGGGGAACTGCCACTCCCAAGGATTTTCAGTGTTATGTTTGTGTGGCGGACAGCTCCTAATTATCGGAATCTCGCAACCAGGGATTCCCTTTCCCCTCCGCAAAGTCCCCACAAGTGATAATAGCTCATCCCCCCACCCCCCAATCATCAGCTGAGGCTCGATGCAGGGTAGAACAGACCCACTTTATTGGTGACAAGCGGCTATCTATACAGTGTCCACAACAGGGAGTCATTTCAAACACAATGCATTGCACAATCCTGGTGCCCTGCTATTATTTACGAATAGCAAGATAATTTAATTAGCGGCCAGACACCTGTTACCCCAAAACACGTTTTCCTCACATAGTATCCTCAAACATTTACTGTCTGGCACCTACGGTCTTCTTGGTATGAGTTGTTATAATTAAGATAATGGATCCCAGTCATTGAATACTGTCTAACCCTGGTATGATAATGGAGAATTATAAACTTGAAATGTCCCTGTAAAGGGGCAATCTGACGTTAAAAACAGACATGTTTATTTTAACGTTGAAGTTTTTATTTTAGTTTTAGGTCCCCCCACCTATTCATTAAAACAAGTAAACTATTTTTTTTTCCCCTGCCGAGAGAGTCTATGCTCACTAGTCCAGGCCATCATAACTGATGATTTCTGTCAAATCTACTGCTTCTCACTGGCGATAAAGGACACATGAACAGCACTCACTGCTATTGCCAGTACAATGCTTCTGAGGGGAAAGTGGTTAAGCAACATGTTCTCTGGAGCAAATGGTGCTCTCTTCTCAACTATAAACGTCGTAACCTCATAAATTTGACTGCAGAAAGGTTTTGAGGTTGGGCAACCCACCCATTTGTGGCGCATCATCTCCACTCCAGAGACACATCTTCAGCCTTTGTCTGGTACCTACTGGAATAATTTATGGATTAGGTGTGGCGTTTGGTACTACTGTGACATTCAGGACATTAATTAGTTTCCTGAATGGTGGAGCTGATGGATGAACAGTGCAGGAACAGGGACATTTCAGTCCACTGTTTCTCTGAACATACTGTCTCAAGTTCATCTTCCCACTGCACCATAAACTTCGGAGGTGAGGGTTGTTTGCAAGTGATCAACGGTTTGTACAGCTGGAATATGCCTCTATGCAGTCTATCGCCCTGTAAGCATAAAGACTTACACTGGTATGGTTTTCTGTGGAGATCCTGGTTGCGTGGTAGGTTATTGCAGTAACGGTTGTTCTTCAGTATAGTAAATGGTATTTTGAGTGGTGTGTTTTTGTACCGCAGTATCCATGGGGAGGTTAATTTAGAAATGTGTCAATGTCTATTGTCATGTGCACCTCTTGTAAAATGAAAAAAGTGGACACATATAGCATTTAATCAAGCTAAAGCGCTTCAGGGGGTCCTGAGCGTCCCTTTTAAATACTTCAGCAAGCTAACCTGGACTGGAGTATACCTTTGATTAGTAATCACAATGAGGCCTCCTTCTATGAATGTCTGGTTACTATTCTGTTTTTGCATTGTGCTTGTGTCTACTTCTTTGAGGAACAAACTCCCAAAACCGGTGAATAACACTGTAACGCAATGTGCCTTGCGGGTTATGTATGTCGGTGAAGTGTCAGTACCTCTGGGTTTCAAGATGTCATCTGATCTCTTACCTTTCTTGCCATGTCGTGCACAGCTGGTATTACAATGTTAACATTCTGTATTCCTTTCAGGAGCTCTATATTGCCGTTGGGATCTCTGGGGCCATTCAGCATCTGGCTGGGATGAAGGATAGCAAGGTAATTTTATAATATATTGAACTATTTTACAATACCGGTACAGAAGCATGGGAATGGGACTTGCCCTGAAAATATATTGCAAACTGTAGAACCTAAAATAACATTGTTTTGTGTTTCTTAATTTGATAACAAACATATCTGTTGTGGGATTATTATAAAGATTTCTCTCCAATTTCATTGTTAATCTGTACATGGTAGATCCAAGGTATGTGTGACCTGTTTAAATGCACAGGGTGCCAGAGAGAAGGCTTCCCACCACATTGTCACTGCTCAGTACGATAGCCTGGTACGCCTTACTGTGGGCTGACCAGCTGCCAGTTGTTAGTGACCATGTGTCAAACACCGCCAGGGAGCTCATGCATTGCACTAATGCCCTGCAGCAATAGGCACTTTACAACTGGCAGGGAGATCAGGGGATTATGTCCTGATGTACCCTACAAGGGGGTCTGAGAAAGGAGCTCTTTCTGGCTCAGTTTATTATGTCTCTGCACTCGCCTGCCATTAACGTCTGCAAAAAGAGGATGATGTGCTGGTAGTCCTATTCCAGCCTCTACTAACTTAAAGGCCCCACATTGTGCCAGAGACACAAAGATGCTTAGTTCTTAGGCCCCTCCACTATACTGCAAAGAATGAGCTCACATTAGTACATGAGAAGGTAACCAAATGGGATACAAGCTCACTTAATGTTTATTTTTATTTACCTTGTGAGTTTGTTCTGTGAGTGTTTGTCTCTGTGTGTCTGTATGTCATTAGAGGCTCATTCTACAATAAATATTTATGAATTTCCCCTTTAATATTATGTTGATAATGAATAAGTAATGAGAGAGTGCTGGACTCTTTTTTTAATCCTGCCTGCTCAAAGTTGACTAATAAATAATGTTTAGGGATCTGTGTGTATTGCTCATTGATGAATACTTTCTTCCTCCATACATTTCATAGGACCTCATGAAGGATTTGGGTTATTCTTGCAGTGATTCTCAATATAGCCCCTATCGGAAAATAATTCTTAAAACTGTATGAGACTTCTACCCTTGCAATGACAAAAATGTCCTCATTCACTCTGCTCCTATAGCAGCCAAGTGTTACTTGCAAATCTGCTTGTACAGTAAGCTTAAATGGACACTGTAGGCACCCAGACCACTTCAGGTCCCTTTTGCACTTAGTGCTGCAATGTAAAACATTGCAGTTCCAGAGAAACTGCAATGTTTACATTACAGCTCTAAGTCTGCCCTTTGTGGCTGTCTAACATACAGCCATTAGAGGGTTTCCTGAATCGAAACAGACTTTTGGTCTGTTATGTGATGCTGGACGTCCTCACACTCTGCATGAGGACCTCCAGCATGAGATTTTTCCCCATAGGAAAACATTTAATCAATTTGCCGCTCATGCGCGTTAGACTCTGCTTGTCGTGGGATGGAGCAGGGACATCGGCGCTGGAATAAGGTAAGTAAATAAATGGTTCTAAAGCTTTATTTACCAGGGAGGGGAGGTAGGGGGAGTGTTCGTGCTAAGAATACAGCTTTGTATTCCTGGCACTACACCTGGCACTCCCTTTAATAGAGGTTGATTACACTTACCTTCTGTTTTTGTTCTCTGGACTGCTATATTAGAAATCGTACCTCCGTTAGGTCAGTTTCCTAAGTTACAATAGGCGGGGGTTACTTACTGCATCTCCTCTCCCAGCGGGTGGGGGCCATAAATGACAATAGGGGGAGGACTTATTGTCCTTCACCCCAGCCTTAAGTTACAGTGGGGAGGACCTATAGTCTCTCCAACCCATGAGCGGCGGGTGGGGGCCCCAAGTGGCAATAGGGGGAGGACCCCAACTCCCATCCATGGTCAACAGTTGGGGGCTAAATGTAAAACATACCCCCCCCCCCACACATGACTAGGGGGTTATTTTTACATTTAGCCCCCACCCGTAGTCCCCACTTTGTTTTATGTTTTAAAGAAAAAAAACAATCCTGAGGGAGGAAGAGAAGAGGAATCAATAGGAGAAAGATAAGTTCGGCCTGACCATGCCGCTTTAAATTCAGTTCAAAATAAAATGCAAATAACTGTGCGAGTCATTGTGGACGCCTGTTCAGCTTACCCAATTATTATTGTAACTTTAATTACTGCTCTCTGAGTCTGCCTTCATTGCTTCTCTGATCCACAAGTACTCACTATCACATGGTCTATGTTTTCAGACTATTGTTGCCATAAACAAGGATCCAGAGGCTCCTATCTTCCAGGTGTCTGACTACGGTTTGGTTGCAGATTTATTTAAGGTAATATAATATATTATCTGATTGTTTGGGTCATATTATGCAAGTATCACATTGTTCATTTTATTCTCTGAGATTAAAAGTGTTACGACCGTAGTAAAAAAAATAAGTTTTTATTATCCATTAACACTCCACTGTCCGAATACAAAAACAAAACACTATTTAGTAAGTAAACCTCCAATGAAAACATTTATGTGTGTATTTTTGTCAGTGGGGATATATTTAAACACAGCTTGCAAAATATGCAAATCGCTTATCCCCTCCCCTTCCTCCCCAATCCAAACTTTCCATGGCTGTCCAATCACAGGCTTCCCAGTGCAGCTTGAAGAGACGTATTTACAAGAGGTGCTCTGGCCGGTTTAACTTCACTGAACTAACCAAACCGGTTGTCTGATTGGCAGCCAGGAGGGTGTAACAAGGTTCATTTATGAAAAGTCCAAATTTATTTTGAAATCTGCACTTCATAAAAAAGGACACATTCTTCAGATGTAAGGCACTTTACATAAATGTGTTAATGTCCCTAGAAAATAAATAAAATATGACCTATATGATCTATATTTTGTAGCTACTAAATTATCTAATGTATCATAAAAGTTTCATTCGAAGTTTAAAATTATACTCGATAATAAGTATGGTGGTGATGTGCTACGATAATTCCTATTGCGCAATCCCACAGGCTTAGCTCATTTTTGCGCTACCAAATTTTGCTGGCGCTATATAAAATAATAATAATTACGTTATTGTTGGTATACAGTTTTCTGATTAGTGAGGAGCATGGCCTTCTGGTGGCTTAACCATGTGGCTGTTATCCATAATCAGTTGGTTCAGTTCTAGAAAGAGGATGTAATGAGTTCAGTTCTAGAAAGAGGATGTAATGAATTTGGTTCGGTTTTAGAAAGAGGATGTAATGAACTAAGTTCAGTTTTAGAAAGAGGATGTAATGAATTAAGTTCAGTTCTAGAAAGAGGATGTAATGAATTAAGTTTAGTTCTGGAAAGATGATGTAATGAATTCAGTTCAGTTCTGGAAAGAGGATGTAATGAATTTGGTTCAGTTTTAGAAAGAGGATGTAATGAATTCAGTTCAGTTCTAGAAAGAGGATGTAATGAATTCAGTTCAGTTCTAGAAAGAGGATGTAATGAATTAAGTTCAGTTCTGGAAAGATGATGTAATGAATTCAGTTCAGTTCTAGAAAGAGGATGTAATGAATTAAGTTCAGTTCTGGAAAGAGGATGTAATGAATTCAGTTCAGTTCTAGAAAGAGGATGTAATGAATTAAGTTCAGTTCTAGAAAGAGGATGTAATGAATTCAGTTCAGTTCTAGAAAGAGGATGTAATGAATTAAGTTTAGTTCTGGAAAGATGATGTAATGAATTCAGTTCAGTTCTAGAAAGAGGATGTAATGAATTCGGTTCCGTTTTAGAAAGAGGATGTAATGAATTCGGTTCCGTTTTAGAAAGAGGATGTAATGAATTCGGTTCCGTTTTAGAAAGATGATGTAATAGAAAATAGGGGGTGGGGTCTGTTTGGTTCAGTCTATTATATTTATTCATGTTTCCATTTGTTTCTGGATGCGAGCAGTATGCCTATGGGAGTACTCCAGATAATGTATGCATCCTGAATGTTGGTAATGCTGTGCTATTCAGAGAGTGGTCCAACTAACTGGGAATATTGTGCATATATATATATATTAAATAGAGCACTCCTTGGGAAAAAAAAATAAAAATGTATTAAAGTGTACAATCAACGTTTCAACCGTCCTGGGTCTTTATCAAGATGTTCAGTGGAAGTAGGATCTTCATTAACTGTTTCTGTACCAGATGCTTGCAGAGGGAAAAGCTGCCATAGTTTAATTCAAGAAGGAATCTTTCTTAATTTGTTGGAAAAAATTGAAAGTGCTTCAAAATGTGTTGTTTTTTTGGTTTTTTTGCCTTCTTTTGGATCAACAACAAAACCAGATGTGAGAGAGGCCGAACTCTTTTCAGCCTAAGTAACCATGTAATTGAATTCATTACACAACTGTTAGCCGATCACACTGTCTCAGCAGTGGCTGGCACTCATACTAGTTTTCAGTGTGCATGCATGGGGTAAAACGTATTTATTTATTTTGAATGGTTTTTCCCACAATAGTCTTTCATTACTTTGACTGTGGCATGCCTAGTACTAGATGTTTTGCCATACAAACAAATGAACATCTGTTTCCAATATGCGCCAGTGAACACGTTATCCCAAAGAAGCCAAATAATTGATCTCCCATGAACCGTAATTGGAATTCTTGCATTTATGGTGATGAATATCTTCATGTAGTTTGCATTTTGTTTGTTTTTCTTGTACAAAGTGTGGCAAGCTCAGGATGAGCTGCTTGGCCCCACACAACAAGTCTTTTGTCGGTCTACTGGAGGAAATCAGGTGGTAGTGCCAGCACTTAATGCGGTTCCTGAACTGACGCCTGCTGGCACATTCAGAGACCAAGCCACTTGCAGGATACAACATGTAGACAACTTCCTCAATAAATTTTGTAGTAGCATATTAATTCCACCTGATGGAAATGTAGGTATTGTAAATAATTGAAGGAATGTTTTCATCAGAGAGGATTTTTATGCGATAACAGCAGGACACCTCGTCTCCCCCCCCTTAGGAATACCCAATTGATATTCATGGGTTAACACCATGCTAGTGCTTGGACAGAATCTCTGAACACAGACACTGTGTTTTATTACACTGTATAGATATTGGTTAATATTGTACAGTTGTCCCCACACAAACCACGCTATGAATTCATACACTGTGGGGGTGAGGAGAGACTTGGCGTTTGACCTCTGAATTCTAAATCCTAGGCACTGTGACCTATATATATTTTTTTCTGTTTGGTTGTCCGCTTTCTTCTGATCTCCGATTAGTGAATAAACCCCCTAGAGAAGTGATGGCTCCCTTTGGGCACTATGGTTCCTATGAGGCAGAATCTTACACCTGTCACATCTGGAGTGACAAGTTGAGCCATTTTTCCACATAGTAGTATTTACTTAAAATGGTGAAATTTAGCACTAAAGGGGGTGAATCTTATTTTATCACCCAGAAAATGTCCCTAATCATTGATATCCGTTCAGGTGTAAAAATAAAATATTCAGAGACGGGTTGTAGACAAAATTTATATGTGTACACACATAGCCAGCCTCTCGTTGCCTTTTATGTATGTTGGATATTATTATATAGTAAACCTCTCATAAACTTGTTCTTGTGTGCTTAACTAATTCCATAAATAATAGGTGGTATCAATACTTGCAACATAAGAGGACTTCTAGAAATGTATAATTACCTGTTTGTCATATGCTGCTTTTGAAAATAGGTTATGACCAGATAATACTGTGTTTTTGTTATGATTTACTTAAAAAAAAAAAAAAATTATTTTATTTTTCTCTTTTAGGTGGTTCCAGAAATGACTGAATTGATTAAGAAAAAATGACATTTACTAATGGGCAAAATTCACTGTTAGTCTAATTAACAATGAAAATTTAAATCATATGGTCTCTGCAAAACTGTTTATACATTCATGCAACAAAGTATTTTTTTTTTTTTTACCAAAAATGTCTGTCTGAATAGTCAACAATAAATACAACGAAAAACTTAGAACTGTGTGTCTTCGAGATTGTTTGCCTAAAAGTTGGTATATAAACTGTGACCGACTCTTGCTCCAGACCCGTGCCAGTTGTACATGTTGGGATCAAAACAAAACCTGGAATTTGCGCTGTATGTCTCTTCAAGCGTAATTCACCCTTTTCATATTAAATGCACCCACACTTATTTTGTTCAGGAGAAACAGGGCTTTCATTACACATGAACTATTCATATAGGAAACCTAATTCATTATGAATAAAATCTAGAAAAATGTGAGAAATTGAGATTTTTATTTTTTTAAAACAATTTAGTTCTGCATGGCATTTTAACTGTGAATGTCATAATACTGTTTGCTGAATACAAATATGTGCATTTTATTGCAGTAAAAGCGAAGCCTCACGTGTAAAACAGTACTCCCTATGTACAGGTTTTATGGTGTTTTAAAAAGTTACAGGGTCAAATATAACCAGTTTCATTTTTCAGTTTAAACACCTAAAAATTCGCCAGATTGGTTATGTTGCCTTTGAGACTGTATCGTAGCCCATGAATGATAATTACCATCATGATGGCATGCCATTTGCAAAAGTAGACAACCCAAGGTATTCAATATGGGGTATGTCCAGTCTTTTTTTTCGTAGCCACATAGTACCCAAACACTGGCCAAAGTTAGAATTTATATGTTTGTGTGTTTAAAAAGGCAAAAACAATTTTGAACGTTAACTTTGCCCAGTGTTTGTGACCAAGTGGCTACTTAAAAAGACTGAACATACCCCATTTGGTATGCCATCATGAGGGTAATTCTCATTCCTGGGCTACCATACGTTCTCAAAGGCAACATAACCAATCTGGCAAATTTCAATGTGAAAAAACTGAAAGCGAGCCTTATATTTGACCACGTTACTTTCAAAATCACTATTAAACCTGTACATAGGGGGTACTGTTATACTCGGGAGACTTCACTGAACACAAATATTAGTGTTTCAAAACACAAACATATCACAGCAATGATATCTTGAGTAAAAAGTGTGTGAAAAATGCATAAAATTTCACTTTCATGGACTATCATTGCTGTTATAGGTTTTACTATTTTAAAACACTATTATTTGCATTCAGGGGAGTCTCCTGAGTAAAACAGTACCCCCCATGTACAGGTTTTAGGGTGTCTTTTAAAGTTACAGGGTTAAATAAAGTGCTAGCACATTAAATTTTCTGGACTTTCTGCCTGGGTTGTCAGGCAGGTCCCTCAAATTGTAACCAATAAAATTACTTAATTATGTAAAAATATTACATAAATATGCATGTAGAATTTAAATATATATATATATATATATATATATATATATATATATATATATATACAGTTGCAAGAAAAAGTATGTGAACCATTTGGAATGATATGGATTTCTGCACAAATTGGTCATAAAATGTGCTCTGATCATCATCTAAGTCACAACAATAGACAATCACAGTCTGCTTAAACTAATAACACACAAAGAATGAAATGTTGCCATGTTTTTATTGAACACACCATGTAAACATTCACAGTGCAGGTGGAAAAAGTATGTGAACCCTTGGATTTAATAACTGGTTTAACCTCCTTTGGCAGCAATAACTTCAACCAAACGTTTCCTGTAGTTGCAGATCAGACATGCACAATGGTCAGGAGTAATTCTTGACCATTCCTCTTTACAGAACTGTTTCAGTTCAGCAATATTCTTGGGATGTCTGGTGTGAATCGCTTTCTTGAGGTCATGCCACAGCATCTCAATCGGGTTGAGGTCAGGACTCTGACTGGGCCACTTCAGAAGGCGTATTTTCTTCTGTTTAAGCCATTCTGTTGTTGAATTACTTCTATGCTTTGGGTCATTGTCCTGTTGCAACACCCATCTTCTGTTGAGCTTCAGCTGGTAGACAGATGGCCTTAAGTTCTCCTGCAAAATGTCTTGATAAACTTGGGAATTCATTTTTCCTTCGATGATAGCAATCCGTCCAGGCCCTGACGCAGCAAAGCAGCCCCAAACCATGATGCTCCCACCACCATACTTCACAGGTGGGATGAGGTTTTGATGTTGGTGTGCTGTGCCTTTTTTCGCCACACATAGTGTGTGTTTCTTCCAAACAACTCAACTTTGGTTTCATCTGTCCACAGAATATTTTGCCAGTACTGCTGTGGAACATCCTAGTGCTCTTCTGTAAACGTGTAACAATGTTTTGTTTGGACAGCAGTGGCTTCCTCTGTGGTATCCTCCCATGAAATCCATTCTTGTTTAGTGTTTTACGTATTGTAGATTCGCTAACAGGGATGTTAGCATTTGCAAGTGACTTTTGTAAGTCTTTAGCTGACACTCTAGGATTCTTCTTCACCTCATTGAACAGTCTGCGCTGTGCTCTTGCAGTCATCTTTACAGGACGGCCACTCCTAGGGAGAGTAGCAGCTGTGCTGAACTTTCTCCATTTATAGACAATTTGTCTTACCGTGGACTGAAGAACAGCAAAGCTTTTGGAGATACTTTTATAACCCTTTCCAGCTTTATGCAAGTCAACAGCTCTTTTGTGCGAGGCATCATTCACATCAGGCAATGCTTCTTGTGAAAAGCAAACACAGAACTGGTGTGTGTTTTTTATAGGGCAGGGCAGCTGTAACCAACACCTCCAATATTATCTCATTGATTGGACTCCAGTTGGCTGACATCTCACTCCAATTAGCTCTTGGAGATGTCATTAGTCTAAGGGTTCACATACTTTTTCCACCTGCACTGTGAAGGTTTACATGGCCTGTTCAATAGAAACATGGCAACATTTCATTCTTTGTGTGTTATTAGTTTAAGCAGACTGTGATTGTCTATTGTTGTGACTTAGATGATGATCAGATCACATTTTATGACCAATTTGTGCAGAAATCCATATCATTACAAAGGGTTCACATACTTTTTCTTGCAACTGTGTATGTATGTGTGTGTGTGTGTATATATATATATATATATATATATATATATATATATATATATTTATTTTTAAGTCTACATGTATATTTATGAAGTTATTTATGTAATTATGTATATGGATATTTATATTTTTTATGTATTTATATATAATTATATGCTAAGCTCTTTCAGAGCGATCACATGGCCAGCAGGGGACTAATTTGCCAAGAGGGGACTGTCTGGGCTGTGAGGCAGTCCCCCTAGACCGGGAGCAACTCCGCCCGCCGGTGTTTAGAGCCACCCTTTCAAGGACAGCATAGAACACCTGCTGTCTTTAAGGGGTTAAAAGGTCTTGCTGTATTTCTAATAAAGGCATTTCTTTCACTATATACATCTAGCTCAAGCTAGTGTATCCTTGAGCAGTGACATTTTATCTCCTCTTGTTGCTACTGCTCCAGGTCTGATTCTAAATAGAATTCACTTCAGCGATGGGCTTAATGTAAATAAATATGCCTTCCTTACATTTTCAATAGTTCCACGATATTGTGTAGCAGGTTGGACAGGATCACTCTTCATAATGTAAGTGTAGTTCCTGCATATCATTATGGTTGCAACGGGGTTGGCTATAAGTGTAGCACAGAACTCCAGGTGTATGTTAAACTGCACCAAAGTGGTTTGACAAAACCAAACCAACATGGGACAGAGTCTAAAGACCTTTATTTAGAGTGCCCCTGAATTGGCAACCGCATATTGTACAAGTAGCAAATTTTACAGTAAGGCTTGAAACCAGACCATGTGTAAACTGGGCTATATGTAAACTGATAGCAACTGCTATAAGGCTGCTATCACATTACAAAACCGTTCCACTTTTCCTAAGTGATGAATGGAACTGCTCTTGGTGGATAAACTACCGTATATACTTGTGTATAAGTCCATCTCATGTATAAGTCGAGTGCAGTTTTGTGAAATATCCTAAGCCTTGTGGATAAGTCTAGGGTAAAACTTGGGATTATGAAATTCTGTGATTTTTGTAATTATACACACTCTGCATTATATACACACACACTCTGTGTGTGTGTGTGTGTATATATAATGCAGTGTGTGTGTTTGTATGAGTGTGGGGGGAGGGCATTTTTATTAATTTTTAAATTTTAATATTTTTTCATTTTTATTTTAGTATTTTTTTGTCTCCCCTCCCTGCTTGATACATGTCCAGGGAGGGGGGGGGCTCTCATTCCCTGGTGGTCCAGTGGATGGGCTATGTAGGAGGGGGGCTGGCAGCGAGCTGTAACTTACCTTTCCTGCATTCCGGTCAGCTCTACTGTAAGTCTCGCGGTCCGAGGGCTGCACGGAGCGTTGCCACGGTATCCCGTGGCAACGCTCAGACACTGCGGCTCTCGTGAGATTTACAATGGAGGAGAAGGGAGCTGACAGGAGCTGCAGGAAAGGTAAGTTACAGCTCGCTGTCGGCCCCCAACAGGACCGCCAGGCTTGTAATGAGCCCGGCAGTCCTGGTCTGTATTATGGCAATGTAAGTTGCCATAATACAGACACTGACTCGAGTATAAGTCGAGTGGGGTTTTTTCAGCACAGTATATACGGTACTTAACATTAATAAACTGCCTATAGCGGTTTACGCGGATGAGTGTCGTGGTGCATGCAGACCCACTGAACAAGGGTATGTATTTTTATTTTGTGTTACATTTTTATCACATTAAAGGAACACTGTATTCCTGACCCTATGATGTTAAAACCACCATATAGCCCCCTGACTCCTATTGTCCCCCTAAATATAGTACAATCTTGCTTGTATTAAAGTCTGCAGCTGCTGGCTCTGCCCCTGTCTGTTTCTGACCTGCTGATATCAGAAGTGGTGGTCTGGGCAAATCACAATGCTTCCCCATTGGATTTTCTGAGACTGTCAAGGAGGCAGAGCCAGCACAAGTCATACACAGCCCTGGCCAATCAGTATCTCCTCACAGAGATTAATTGAATCAATACATCTCTGAGGAAAGTTCAATGTCTGCATGCAGAGGGTGGAGGAACTGAATGGCTATGCAGTACAGTGTGCAGCACTACCCCCAGGAAGCACCTCAAACCGCCATCTGAGGAGTGCCCTGTGAAGTTATCCCTAGGCTGTAATGTAAACACTACATTTTCTCTGAAAAAAGTGTTTACAGCAAAAAGCCTGAAGGGAATGACTCTACTCACCAGAACAAATGCAATAAGCTGTAGTTGTTTTGGTGACTATAGTGTCTCTTTAAAACAGGGGGTAATGAAAAAAAATGCAACCTTTTATGTCAGAAAAGTAAATAGGATGCCATGTGAAGGACCCACAAGAACTGGAGTGCAATCCCAGTGCTACTGCCAATTATTACACACAGTGATTCTCACTGTAATCAAGATAATTAGTGAAGCCGATTGTAGTTATCTCACTGAATAGACACACTATCAATATGAAACATAACTATGAAAAACTTCAGCATATACTTAGTGTAAAGGTTAATACTTCACTGTTACATACCAGCAGAAAGTAATCAACACAAGATCCGTTTTTTCTTTTTAATTTGCATATGTCAAGTACTGCCCAAAATGGATTGTGCATTCAAAAATATTGCAGCATTTGTACAAAATCTGTAGTTGATTGATAACACTGATCTCTCCACATATTTATATAAACACATGACTTTTCCTGGTGGTACTCACCAGTACAGTGTATTGGCACCTCTTATGATCCCTGTAGACAGTATAGAAAGTACCACAGTCATTTCCCCTTAGTGTAGGAGAGTACTAGTACTTTTTACTCCCTGAATGTTGATTGCATGTGTAGATGTATGCATACATACACAAATGCACATTTACTACTCCGATAAATTCATTTACTTTAACATTTGCAGGGTGGTTCAAAGAAGCACAAATTCTTAGGTTTTCAAATTTTACTCTAAAAATTCCAAGTCTATTTTTCTTCAGCTTGATTATTTAGGCTAACAATTTGTAATTTTATTTGAATTCACACTTTAGTGAATAACCCTGTTTGTTTACATGATATATGCATGGTAGGAAAATATGCCCTTTGTAATATGTAATAACGATACTTTGTTTCTAAATACATGCATGTAATGTTTTGTAAACCATTGTATGAGGCTAGATGAAGAATCAATCTAGAATATTGTGTATCTCCTGAGAATGATTCTAGATTGTTGATGTAGACTGCCTTATGAAGAATGATGTTTGATTTGAATTCCTTCTCACAGTGACTGATCTGAAAACTTGTCAAGTCAGAACATTAAGTCTACTTAATGCCTAAGGTTTGTGAACCTGATGAAAGCCTTACGTTTTTTGCTATGTAGCAATCAATTAGCTGTGGAACAAGGCTCAAGAGTTACAAATCTGTTACCCAGTTTCATTTAATTTCTGTATCTAACCGTTTACTCTCTAAAAGAGGGAGGTTAAGTGGTATCACAGACTTGTCGCGGAAAATCCTAAATTCCTCTTGATGGACCCGGTTATAAATATTGATTTGATGTGCATGTTTGGGACTAGAGACACATGAGCCTACAGGATTACTCAGGTGAAGGTTGGCTGGATCCTTCCTTCTCTGAATAAATGATATATCTTCTGAAAAGGAAGATAAGAGTTCTTGAGCATTTTTCACAGTACGTTGTGCAGTTGGTGCCAATGGACAATAATCTGTTGATTCCTCCCTTGTGCTGCAGTCTGTGGAGGAACAGAAGACCTGGCTGCTTATGCTCTGAGCTAATGTTTCAGAACTTTCCGGAGATCTGGTCACACTTACTGAGTTTATACTACTTGAGCTGCTGTTTCGTTCTGGGGTGATTTGTACTTCTGCAGAGTAAAGGTCAGAGGATATATCGGGGTGATGATGAACATCAATAGCGGCTGTAGTGATGATGCATGTCCCAGGAACACCGCTCTCTGCAAGTAATATAGACTTAAGTTAAACTTGACTGTAATCTTATGAACATTGTTCATGCTTGTTCTATGCTGCTTTGCCAACAAAATAACCTGTAAATGCTACCTCATTTTGCCACATGAATACAAAAGAGAATTAATCATATCTGGCAACAAAAACAAAAAAACAAACAAAAGTAAATAGGGACCTAGCGGAGCTCACATAAGGATAAAGGAACATTCCAAAAATATTAATCTCATTGCTTTTCAAGTTCATGGTCTGGTAGTTACATCACCAATAATAGGAAGCTTGAATCGATCCATATTTACAGTTTGGCTTTTTGCTGCCTACTGAATCTTACAAGTCCAGATTTGCTCTGAACTGGCAGCACCTAGTCTGTTTTATTTGGTGTGTACCTACTCATTAATATGTTCCCTGGTCGTTATTGGCTTTATTACCAATTTACTATGTGCTGGCTGTATAGTGATCTGAACAAATAATGTCATTTTCTAGGATATTTTCTGCTGGTAAAATGATCTATTCTCCTGTTGACAACCTCCTCACCTAGATATTAAAGGACCACTATAGTGCCAGGAGAACATACTCTTTTTCCTGGCACTATAGTGCCCTGAGGGTGCCCCCACCCTCAGGGACCCCCTCCGGCCAGGTTCTGGAGAGAGGAAGGGGTTAAACACTTACCTTTCTCCAGCGCCGGGCGGGGAGCTGTACTCCTCCTTGCTCGTGACGTCATCGGCTGAATGCGCATGCGTGGCAGGAGCCGCGTGCATTCAGCCAGTCGCATAGGAAAGCATTTACAATGCTTTCCTATGGACGCTTGCGTGCTCTCACTGTGATTTTCACAGTGAGAAGCACGCAAGCGCCTCTAGCGGCTGTCAATGAGACAGCCACTAGAGGCTGGATTAACCCTCAGTATAAACATAGCAGTTTCTCTGAAACTGCTATGTTTATAAAAAAAAGAGGGTTAATCCTAGAGGAACCTGGCACCCAGACCACTTCATAAAGCTGAAGTGGTCTGGGTGCCTAGAGTGGTCCTTTAAGAGATTAAAAAATGTGCTTGCCCTGTAAGCCAATAATTAAGACTTACAGTGCTTCTTTGGCATTTCTGTCCTATTTTTTTTTTTTATCCTTTTCCTTCTATTGTACCAGGTTGTTGGGTACCTTCTCCAATAGCCTCACAAACTGCTTGTTATGGCACGTGATGGATATTGTGGTGTGGATGCGATTAAAATAATAATTTGCATTTTCATCAGTTCCATGGGCTTCATCTTTAGTGATGGACTCCATGTTTAAAGTAAGCAAGTCTTCAATACTGGCTTGGCAAAAATCATAGTCAGAGATAGTAAGGTTTGTTGTGGATATCTACTTCTGTTCCACATTATCAAAAAGGCAGGGAGGGGATAGGACAAACAAACTCATGCCCATGAATTTTAACCTGTCAAAATTCCAATTTGAATGAATTTCCAATTTGAAAAAATTCCTCAACTCCAAACTGGCAGTCAGTCTTCCCCCCACCCCCTAAGATTAGCAAGCTATTACCCTGTAGATTAACGTTTAAAGTATATCCCTGAATAGTCGTTTTTATAATAATTTTTTTTTTAACTAAACAAAAAACCTTTGGATGTTGCACCCAGAATCTGATAAAACAACCTACTTAGACAAAGATTCTACAGCGGGACAGGTACCTTTCTCAAACTGTTTTTTTTTTTCTTCTTCTTTCACTGGAAAGCTACTGACAGCAGTGCCTTGTCTGGGGCTCGCTTATTGAAGCTTCATACCATGGATGAGAGCCAGGAGGACAGCCAAACGTGTATTTTGTTTGCAAATTTTGGGTTAAACTGTTCGTAAACCGTTTAACCTCTTAAGGCACCCAGGACCTTATTGAGAAGCTATGGAGCCTGGAGAGTTCCTTTAATACAGAGCAAGGAATACCATGGATTAAAAAAACCCTAGGATCAATAGCAGGTCTGCGGTGGAATGACTACAATCACTCAACTAAGGTGTTTTGATTTAGCTGCGATTAGGTTGATCCAAAGGTCACTACTCCATACTCATTCTTCTTGACCTTTCTGCTACCTTTGACACTGTTGATTATATTCCCCTTCTCCAAACTCTTTAATTACACAGTCTCTGGGACACTGTCCTCTTGTAGTTTTCCTCCTCTCTCTCCCAATGCTCATTCAGTATCTCCTTTTCTAATAATACTACCTCTCTTTGACCGGTCGCGGTTGGAATCCCCCAAGGCTCTGTTCTTTGTCCCCTTCTATTTACTCTTTATACTGCCTCTCTTGGAAAACGCATTACCTCATTTGGATTCCACTACCACCTGTACGCCAATGACACACAGATATATCTCTCCTTCCCAGACCTCTCCCATGTCACTACTTGCCTATGATTGAATGTTGTCCTGCTTTCTGAAACTCAAACCCTCCAACACTGAGCTTCTTGTCTTTCCTCTTCCTAATACGGATCCTTCTCTTTCGCTCTCCCTTCAAGTTAGTGGTACCCACATCAGCTCATCCTTGCAAGCACGCTGTCTTGGCGTTCTATTTGATTCTGGCCTCAAATCCTGTTGATTCCACCTTAAAAACATTGCCCGCATCCACCCCTTTCTTACGTAAGACACTTATCCATGCTCTCTCGCATGGACTATTGTAACCCTCTCCTAAATGGTTTTCCTAAAAGCCATATTGCCCCGCTACAGTCTGTAATGAATGCTGCAGTCAAACTGATTTTTCCTCTCCAGTCACTCCTCTCACAAGTGTCAGTGTTTGTACAAATATGAAAAAACAAAACAAAAGTAAATCTGGAATGGCAAACTAGTAAAGCCCACAAGCAAACTAAGACAAAAAATACCTAACACATTCTGTGCCTCAAATGGCACTTACTTAGAACAGCAAGTTTGGAGCAGTTTCTAAGACTCTAGATAGATCCGCACCTAAGTCCAGTGGTGGATTGTTAGATTTCCTACAAAGACTTTTAAGACGGGGCCAAATCAAGGAATTAAAGGCCTATTGGGAAGGGATTATTTAAGTCATGTGTATATTGTAGACCATGGATATGTCTTGAATACAGCAACTCAACCATTGGAAGGACGTAGAGCTCCTTATAGGAAAGTTTGGCGGAATTGGTTAACACAGTAACCAGACTAGTAGGGTTGTATAAATGCATGGAGTATATCCAGTGGTGACACCTAAAATACCATGTACATTGAGGTCTTGAGTCCTGATTAAAGTCAGACCTTCCACCTTGAGAGCATCAAGACTCATCCCAGCTATTTACTCTATAGAGAACTCCGGGTGTTGCAGCAGAGGAAGACTGAATAAATAAATAAATCCATTTCTACTTTCTTTAAAATGTAAAGAAAGAAAATGAGATATTAAATAATTCAACCATTCAAGTTTCATGTAAGTCCATTTCAAAGAGAGAAGGTGCAGATGTAACTTAAATACCAAAACAACTATAATGATCACCATTTTAGTAAACATGTACATATCTTCTGCTTTAATGCGGATTATTTTGTTCTATTTGAGCTGTGAAGAATATCAAGCCACAGCCATATGGCATTAACAAGAAAGTTAGGGCATCCATCTAATACTATAAAATGACAAAGTGATGATTTAGCCTGATTACCCAAGGATGCTTGTAGAAGAGTGAGATATAATTATTGGCGGCATTCGTCAAACTCAGATTCAGTAAAATATGGCCGTTTAAATGCGCTATCACTGTGTAATCCTCCAACTATCTGCTTAAATGTACATACACATGTCAGTCATATTACTGAAAACAATCTACCCACAGTTACTACTAAAGTTGAAGGAGACATCTGGAATAAGCATATCTCCATGCTACTGTGAATTTTTAAAGTGCGATGCAGGATCTCCATTTGCTGCCACTACCTTTGATTGTAGAACAAAGCCTTGGTTTATTTTGGCCTAGGCTTAAACATATCCCTGATTGGAAGCATACCTGTACTAACGGATCATGATATATACATGTTACAGAAATGCCGCCCAGGAATAGTGGGAGTTTGAGTGCAGGACTTTTTTATGTGTATTTGTATTCACTTTTTCCATCACACAGCCATTTTACAATGCTGCCACCCATCCCATGTGTTCCCTATTGTGGGTTAATAAGTATGTAGGGGTTTAGAAAAATACCCCTTTCTGTCTCAGAGATTTCTTCGCCTGAAGCGCAAGGAAGCCAGGTGAATTGTTAGTGTAGGACCCACCTTGACATGACAATTGGGCTTACATCTAATGGCCATATTTAAATATGCATAAAGATTGGGGCTAGTGCACAGGTAACTTTTTTCTTTGTTTGAGAATAAATCAGGTTTTAAGCAGCATTTATCTGTTTATGTTCCACTGATGCATTTAAACTCACTGCTGTGACTATCCACTCAATTTTCAGCAAATTAACATTAAATTATCCTTACCACTGCTTGGCTCGTTATAATACTGGGTGATGTAATTGTTCATGTCATCCTTCATAATGACCTCTGAAAAACAAAATGATTTCTTACGTTAAGTCAAACAAATCCGATGGCCAGTGGCCATTCACACTGAATGTATAATGTGTATCTAATATTAGCTTGCTAAACCGCACGCTTTACTTACATAATATTAGATTAATTTCAAGATAAATGGGAGAAATGAACACATTAGTATGTGACCTCTTTCCATTGCTAGTAATGCACAGTATAAGTCCTCCGTAACAAGAATACAAAACTTACCATCACTCCTTCTAATGCTTTGTAATCTCCGTCTATTCTTCAATAACCTCTCCATAGAGTGCTTCCCTCCCTCCAACAATATAAATAAAGTGGCTCAGTTCCTGTTACTGGCAACTAACCTGCTAAATTGGATCAACGTGGTAAAAACCTATTACCCTTTGCCCCTGTGGTTTTCAAGTACTGCAGTGTTTCAGGAATTAAGTTTTAAACAGAAAATCACCCATAGCATTTGTGGTTTATCGGATTTAAGGATTGTAATGTTCTATCAATTCATAACAGATGATCACTTGCTTTCCATGATGTATTCAGCTTTAAATGGAACAATCCAAGCACCATAACAACTTATCTTTCTATCACAAGTTATGGCGCTAGGGCTCGTCTTTCTGTATCTCCCTGTCTGTACAGGGATATTTACTAAAGTTAGAATTGTTGGAAATATAAAGTGAATTTCACATTTTAAACAAACACAACTAAACTGGACGCATGACTGACTTGGAGACTTTTTTCCAATCCAGCCATTTTGTTCAAAATCTTGTGTTCTGCATAATATCCAGCTGTCACTAATAATAATAGTAATAATAAGAGAACACTTGGCTGTACAGGAAGATAAGGAAGTAGCTTCCTGGTAGAGTTCTCAGCAGGAGATACATTTTTTTTTTTTTTTGTAAATTTTTATTTTTGAAAGTGCAAGTTAAACACAAGAGCAGGCAGTGTCACAACAACAGCTGCGTGCACAGTAGTTAAAGACATAGTTAAACAGCAGTGTGACATACTAAAGCAGGTAGTAGCACAATTTTTATAATTTTCTTGAGTGATGCAAGAACTAAAAGTGAGTATGTAACAGGTTAGAATATATTAGGTGGTGTAACCTTGCCAGAGCCGCTTCTGGTGGCCTGTATGGCCGTATTGTCATCTGTCCCTGTCCTCCTTAGCTTTGGGTGGAGTTGGGGACAAGCTCTAGGGGCGTGCGCGCTATAGCGGCTAAAGGCAATAGTGGTATGTGGCATGGTTTAATGACTCCTTAACCCCAGAGTCTGGGGGGCGGGAGGAAGGCCATCCGCCTGGCTGCTGAGTGGGGTTTCGTGACATTGGTGCCGTGGGCTTAATGATACTATATGTATAGTGGTTCCTATCCGTCTACACGATGAGAAATTAGGTTGTTAATAGTAAACCATAAGTAAATCAGATAGAATACCAAGAGAAATAAAAATGCAAAACAAACACAATAAAGCAAAGCATAACACGTAGATGTGGGAGCCAAGCTCCAACTCGCCCAATATGTGACAACACCAGGATGGAGGTTTTTGTTGCAATGTCTCTCTATCCGACGACTGCTCAGTCGGTTCAAGTTACCCGGGGCTGCACTGGCCCCTGTCCCGCTGGTGTTATCTGTCCCGCAGGGGTAAAGTCTGGAACGTTAGCTACGTCCCACTTGTGTGGAGGTCTTGTCTTGGCCCCTGCCCTCTGTTGGATGCCCAGCGCCTGCAGAAATTGTGGAGCCTCTTCCGGTGACGCCAGTCGGTGGTTGTGCCCATCTCGCGTAGCGATAAGCCGCCTTGGGTATCCCCATTTATATGGTATCTCTGCTGTTCTTAGTTGTGCCGTGGTTTCTTTTAAGGATGCACGCCATTGTAGCGTCTGGCGGCTGAGGTCTTGATAAAAGTTCAGGTTGAGGTCTTCAAATGCAAATGGGGTCTGGCCCCTGACGGCCCTGAGAAAGCCATCCTTGTCTGCACGGGTTTTGAAGTTCAATATGACATCTCTTGCTGAATCAGGTGCGTTGCGTTGGCGTCCCGGTATGCGAAATAGGCCATCTAGAGTTATGCTTTTGGCCTGTTTGGGTGCCAGGGCGGCCTGGGGCAGTCTCTTAATGAGATGCGGTAGTTCCTCTGTTGTTACGGTGTCTGGGATCCCCCTCACCTTGAGGTTTTTTTGCCTTGCTGCAACCTCCAGCTGCCCCATTCGGGTGTTCATCTGCGTGCACATGGCTGTTAGTTCCAGCGTTTGATTGGCGGTAGCTTCTTGCTGGGCTTTCAGGTCTTGGACCCCGGCTTCTTTCTCATCTTGTTGATATGCATATGATGATATGGGACCTTGATAATGCTATTTGGCCATGGCGTAAAGTAGTGCCAATATCTGAGCAAAAAAAAATAATAATCTCAAAATTATGACTTGATTCGGAACCCTCCAGTAAGGTTTCAGCCACAATAAGGGCTTTATCAGCCTGGCTTGAGGGTTCCAAATACCGTTGAGGGTTCAGAAAAAGGTCACTGTTTTGGGAGTGTGTGTATGATTGCTCTTATTGCTTTTGTTTATAACCTATTGGGTAAAAATCCAGCATGTTACCAAGTCCTGTAGATTTCATCTTAAAAACATAGCCTGCGGGGGGCGTGGCCTGGGTACCAAAGGGAGCAGACGCATGGCGGCAGAGCTCCTGTGATATATCCCACAGATATAAACCACAAGGTGTTTACCTACCCGATCTCGGCAGACACCAAGCCTAACACCACTACCCGACATGGGGAAGAAAATGAAAAAGCTGAAAACTCTGAACGGGGAAAGCTCCTGCAACATTGGTGACCTCCTGCAACAGAGGCCTAGACCTAAAATGGCTCTCCCTACACCTCCTCCTCAGAGGAAATCATGGATGCCCCTGACAAAATCCCCCACACAGAGGGTCATATATCCACACCTCGGACAGAGGACTTATCAGCCACAGCCACAAAAGGGGACATAGAGGCCTTCATGAATAATATTCGTGCCTTCTTTAATGCTGACCTCGATATTATCCGAGAAGATATTGCTGTGGTCACAACCAGAGTAGGGGTGACTGAAGAACACCTCTCCACAGTGGCCCACCAACAGCAAATCAAAATGCACACTCTGGAAGACACCCAAAGACACAACAACCTCAAAATAAGAGGTATTGCCGAAACGGTCGACGACCATGAGATGCCGCACTTTTTAAGGCGCCTCTTCGCTTCTCTGATGCCGCAACGCTCCGCATACAACTAGATGGCTGCTATCGACTAGCAAAGTCTAACAAGGCTGGAGCTACCCACGATGTGCTAGTGCGCTTCGTACTGAACCGAGATAGAGCGGTGGTCCAAGAAGCAGCGAAGAATAAAACACCTTATGGCTTTGAAGACTTCTATTCCTACAGGACTTATGTAGCTCAACACTACTATGGAGAAGGTCCTTTCACAGAGTCACCCAAACCCTTCGCTCAGCAGCCATCGCATATAAATGGGGCCCCTCACGTACTCTCCAAGCCACCAAAGAGGGTCACACCTACCCACTCACCTCTGCGGATGACTCTGAGGCGTTCCTCCAGAAATTAAGCCTAATCTCATCCACGGGCCCAGGAAGTGGACCACGCAGCTCATGGGACGTTGCCAAGGTGGTGCCATTCACCCGCAGAGCCGCTGCTGATACTGGCTGAGGCCGGGACGGACACCCAGATATGGGCTCTACCTGGGTCTCATATTCCAATCCACTTACCAGTTTATATTTATATTTTTTCTTCTGTTGACTTAACCTTATTTAATAATAGCATTACGTATAATACCCCGGCTACGATGGCAATACCTATGTGTCTGCTCCCCCCCCCCCCACACCGCTCAAGGGTTAATGAGCGGCACCTCCTTCAACATACACAAGCGAATCTAACTCACTACTATACCTTCACCTCAGGGGGCAGGGGGTACCTACCATACAGGCATATGCGTCAGGTAAGGGGTGATACACTCACATGCCCCACAAGGACTTCCTACCCACCACACCAACGGGAGACGGAACAGTTAGCATCAGTTAACCAGATATACCAACAAGCCCAGATGGCTATAGATGTAACATGCTGCGATCTGGACAAAAAACAAGTGCAAGCTACAGGCAGACACTTAACATTATAGCCCTCCCCCCACCCCCCCCATGGGACTAGTGAGCTTCACATGAAGGCACACTGCCAGCTCACCCCAATTAACACCCAATGCCAAAATTAGCCTCCAGCCTTAGGCGATCTTCTTGGTGGCCACTATTTCAGGAGCAGTCTGTTCTTCCCAGAGAGGTAACTGTGCCCTAATCAATGCAACCTAATCCTTACCTTCTGTTTCTGCGGGATACACCAGATTACAATAGTGAATTTTCGCCTCTCCTATCGTTATTTTATTTTTTTTATATTCTTTATTTTTGCGGGTAATCAAGATCAACAAGGTTACATTGTGTGCAGTAAAGGTATCCATCAAAAATCACATTGTTCAACAACAACAGCATCACATGCTTACTAGAAACCCAGTTTTGTAATTTTCTAGCTTAGATTCCTCATGACTGCACGAGCTGTTAGACCAACTAGTGACTGGAGGTTGCCGATTAGTTGCTTATGCACCCTCAAGGGTTTCAGGTTATAAGGCTATGTCTTAAAGTAATACTGCTCAGGGTGCGAGTTAATTAATAAAAGTTGTCATATGGTATATAAGAACCTAGTTCTGACTTGGCGGTTAACCAGTGGGTAGTTGTGCCAGCTAGGTCGGCTAAATAACGCGCCCCAGAGCGCTAGCTCGCTTATTAGGGGAAGGAGCACGTTAAAATAGAGGGGAGGGGGGGTGGGGGTAAATACAGGGCACGGTGACTGGCTGTCAGCTTGCGGAGCCAGATAGAGGTAGCGGACATATGTTTGTACAAACAATAAGTACATAAAATATTGGTTAACTTATATTAAAATAATACGGTATCAAACATTGTTAGGCAAAACTTTGAGCGGCAGCACGGGCTGCAGTCCATGCTGGTTTCAGGTAGGTGAGTCAGGTGTGCCCGTTCTTGTTCCTCTGGGCACAAATGGGTTAATGTTTGCGACACACCAAGAAGGGCTGTTGTCCGCTGGGGCCGCCTCCTTTGGCAGGCCCAGGGCCAGAAGGAAAGCTGATGCTTCCGACTTGTGCGTTAGGAGGTGCATTTCGCCTGCTTTCTCTGCCATCAGTCGGTTCTGCCCCCATTTATATGTGATGGTGTGCTCTCGAATCCGCTGGGTAATTTGTCTGAGAGACCTTCTCCATGTCAGAGTGTGCCTGGAAATGTCTCTATAAAAAGTTAGGTGTGCCCCTTCAAAGGGAACCGTGGGCGAGCCTCTTGAGGCTCCCATGAGAGCCCCCCGGTCAGAGTCCCGAATAAATTTGACAAGTACATCCCCAGGAGCCCCCTGGGGAGCCCTAGGTGCATTGGGGAGCCGAAAACAAGAGTCCACACCTATTTGCTTCACTTGTTTGGGTAGTAGCAGTGTGGCTATCAGCCTCCGGCAATAATGGGGTAATTCAGAGTCAGTGACCGATTCAGGCACCCCCCGGATCCTCACATTCCGCGCCTTTGCCTTATCCTCCATAGTAGCTATTTGTGTAGTCAGGGTGCTGCATTGCTTTTGTAGTGATCCCAGGGCTGCATCTGTGGCAGTCTGAGCTACTCCAACACTTTTAAGGTCCTCTTCCACCATCTTCACCCTTCCTGTGAGCGTGGAGATTTCCTCCCTAATCAGCGCCATGTCAGCATGGAACATTGCTTGTATTTCCTTCACTAGAGCCCTTATGTCGGCCTTCGTGGCTGGAGCTGAGTCACCCAGCTCCATGTGTGTCGCGGGCTTCACTGGTACCTTTGGTGGAGGTGAATGGGTGGCCATCTGGCTCTCCCTTATCGTTATTTTTTAAGTTAAGTTAAGCTCACTGTACCAACAAGACATGCTGCCTACCTACACATGTATCTCTCGTCTGTTATATGCAAAGTTTATTATGAAGTTTTATATCTTAATTATTAAAAATGTGCTGTGCCTGCGAATGTACAACCTTTTGTTCACCGGTATTTCATGATATGATTGCATACTACTTTTGTTGTACTTTTGATGGTAAATTTCCTTGTACTCATAAGCACAAATAAAATAAAGAATACAAAAAAAAACATAGCCCACATACACCCCTTTCTTACGCAAGATGCTACTAAGGAGCTTGTCCATTCTCTAGTAATTTCCAGCATGGATTATTGTAACCCTCTCCTAATTGGTCTTCTCAAAAACCGTATTGCCCCGCTACAGTCTAATGAATGCCGCCGCCAGACTGATTTTCCTCTCTAGTTGGCCCTCTCACACCTCACCCCTCTGTCAGTCCTTACATTGGCTTCCTGTATCCTAAGAGTAAATTCAAAATGCTAACCCGTACCTATAAGGCATTGACCAATTCTAGCCCCTCATATCTCTTCACAGATCCAGAGGTATGCCCCTTCTCGGTCTCTCCACTCGAAGTATGCGACCTTCTCCTGTTCGCACAGGTAGAGCCAACTCACGCTTGCAGGACTTCTCACAGGCGGCTCCCTTCCTATGGAATAGCCTGCCTACTGCCATCAGACTCTCCCCTGGTCTTCAATCGTTTAAGAAGTGCCTTAAGACCCATCTCTTTAGGAAAGCTTATGGCCTCCCAGAGTAACCTTTACCTCGCATACCTGTCTCTTGCTCTCTCCTAAAGGGCAGCACTCTACTCTTTCCTCCAGTTCTGCTTCACTCCCACCTTATTTGATTGCCATCTCCTGTCCTATTAGGGTTTACACCCCACCTCCTATAGACTAGGCTCGTTTGAGCAGAGTCCTCTTCAACCTATCGTTCCTGTAAGTTTTCTTGTAATTGTCCTATTTATAGTAAAATCCCCCATCTTATAATACTGTAAAGTGCTACGGAATCTGCTGGCGCTATATAAATGGCAATAATATTAATATTGATAGACTCAGAGCCTAACCCATTCTTCTCTGCTGAGTACTGATAACATCCTTGAAGCATCACCCACTGTGCAATGCTGATTACTGATAAACTCTAAGCATCACATAATAAGCTGTTATTTTCAGCCATGCTTTGAGAACCTAGCCACTGGTATTAGATCACCACAAGCACAGACTGTTATGATCCAAGTGTTGCCGTGTTTGCAGAATCAGGTATTGGTAACAGAGCGTTACCCACTGTCCTTGTGGTTTAATCACTTTAAGTGCTGTAGTTTTTGACGATAGTTCCATTCTCCCTGAGAGCCATATATCCTACGTGCCGCTGGGAGCTCTGACGGCTCGGTACAGCACTCTGCGGTTTGCAGGTGAAATAAACAGATGTTTTCTGTTGAACATTTTCAGCACTGTATATGACCCAAACCGCCGTCTCTAACTCTTCTGCGTCCTGAAGATGACAATCAAAGTTGACAACAAGACGGAAAGAGTATGCTCTCTTGCTCTCGGTTTGAGTTTAAAAGCTTTTTTGGCCGCGTTGAGGCTGAATTGCCTGCAGTCAGGAGAGGGTTGTGTGTTAATGTGAGAGTTTAGAAAGCGCCTGAATGTAGCTGTGGGCTGTTAGACTCGAAGAACTATGCACGGAGGTTCAGCTATCTGATGTTCAATCCCTTCATTGTTCTCATCTATAATTAATATTCAATGCCACCTGACCAGACAAACCACGCACAGCATTATCCATCCAGGACTTCAATACTGTGACACGCTCCTAAATATGACACCGCTTTATAAATAAAATGATAACAACAAGAAGAGAAACTATGAACTGCTTGTCTGGTATTTTTATTTTATATTCATTTTCCTTATAAATGTAACAACAGACGACGCCAATTTATAACATTTGTAATTCAAAGTGTAATTAGTATTTTAGGTCAAACACAAATACAAAGCTGACAAACTCCTTTTAAATTCCCAACAGATCATACTTTAGTAAATAGCCCCGCTAAATTCCAAATTAAATCAGAAAGTGTATATTATTATTATTACTAGTCTAGTGTGACATTTAGTTCTTCTCCAATGTGATTTTACATACATATTAGAACATTGATCATAATGTTTTTTTGTTTAAAAATGTCTTAAAACAGTGATATTTCCCCTTTTTATATAGTGGAAAAAACAAAAAAAACATACAATAAACCCAATACCTGAAGAGAGAAATGCTCTGTGTGTTTGCAATCAAACTATTTGTATGTTCATGTTGTTAATGTATAGTTGCCCACCTAAATTCTATATTCCCAAAGAAGAAAAAACAGATTGATACAGGGATCTAGAGAGACAGATTAGATGGAAAAAGGAGAGAATAAGAGAGAGATCCAGAGATGAACTTAGACAAGTTCTTTGTTCCATCTTATCTTGAATCGTTTGTTCTCTGGGTCTGTGTCAGTTATTTAATTATTTGTTTTTCAGGGTTATTCATTAAACTTCAAATTGTAACAAATTAAAATCTTAATTGCAAAATTTCGTCCTAAAGAGCTGGTCCTGGAAATATTCTCCAATAAGCGACAGTCTTCCAATATTATAGGGAATCTCACATCGCTTCAGTGATTAAAAAATAAATTAAAAAATTATAGTAGAACAAAAATATTTTATTTAAACTGCAGCTCACATGGACTCACCAGCCAAACCACGATTAGAACCAGGACGCGGCTCCCTAAACACCCCTCCTCAATGGCAAAAACATCTATATCCAAAATTAAAAGATCGGGCACAATGAGGTAAAATCATTTTCAGGCTCCCAGGAGCCCCTTTATTAAAGATTAGTTAAGCAGCCACATCTGAAGCATTTCGTCCAACGAAATTAATGGTGGCAGCAGAAAAGGCCTGGGAGTGTAAATCCCACCAATCTCAGCTAAGTGACTTTTTAAATCAGAGTGTGACATCACCCACCACGTGCTTTGAAATGAATAAATCATGTTTTAGGACTTTGTAAAAGCATCAACATCCAACTGCGGAATGCTTTGTGCAGAGATTTCCTCTTATGCCGGATTTGAAGGCCACCGTGAAGCACATGGACTGAAATTATCCCCAAATATCCCCCATTTTATAATTGTAAATCACTGCGGAATATATTGGTGCTATAAACATGCTAATAATCTATAGAGCCTCAACTACTGCCAATGTATTTTAACCCTCTCTCCCAAGCTGAAATTATGGTGGCAACTCCCACCGGAGTAGTGTAACTCTCACTAATCTGTGTATAGGTCAGTGCTGCCCTGAGATTAAAGAAACCCTAACAGGATACCTAATGGGGAAGAGTGCATTTGGGTTCTGTAAACACATTTAAACCACTTGATTTTCAGACTCATGGTTTATTACGTGTTTTCAGTGGCATCAATTTCACACTTCAGTTATAGATTCTCTCTTCTCTGTATGTACAGTCATGGGAAAATAAAGTGCGCCTTCTTAAAATTCTATGGTTTTACATATCAGGACATAATCATCAGTTCCTTAGATGGTACTAAATTAGGTTAAAAACAACGTCAGATAAATAACAACACAAGACATATTACACTGTGTCATTATTTAACAAAAATAAAGCCAAAATGGAGAAGCCATGTGTGAAAAGTACATCCTTACTGCTTCCATAGGAATTAAAAGGCTAAGTAGCAGACAGGTTATGCTAATCAAATGGCCTTGACGAATTGAACATCAGCAAGTGTTACCACCTCTATAAAAGCCTACGTTTTAGCAGCTTGCTGGTCTGGAGTATGTGTTAACACAATGCCAAGGAGGAAAGACATCAGCAATGATCTGAGAGATGCAATTGTTGCTGCCCATCAAAGTGGGAAGAGCTAGAAGGCCATTTCCAAACAATTTAAAGTCCATCACGCTACAGCGAGAAAGATTCTTCAAAAGTGGAAAACATTCAAGACAGTTGCCAATCTTCCAAGGAGTGCACATCCCAGCAAATTCATCCCAAGGTCAGACCGTGCAATGCTCAGAGAAATTGCAAAAAAATGAAGAGTTACATCTCAGGCTCTACAGGCCTCAGTTGGCATGTTAAATGTTAATGACAATACAAGTGGTAAAATACTGTACAAGTATGGTTTGTTTGGAAACAGTCTCTTCTCTCTGAAAAGAACATGGCAGCATGGCTTAGGTTTGCAAAGTTTCATTTGCACAAACCACAAGACTTCTGGAACAATGTCCTTTGGACAGACGAAACGCAAGTGGAGATGTTTGGCCATAATCCACAGCTCCATGCTTGGAGAAGACCAAAAATCAGCATATCAGCACAAACACCTCATACCATCTGTCTATCATGGTGGTGAAGATATGGGCTTGTTTTGCAACCACTGGACCTGGGTACCTTGCAGTTATTTAGTGGACCATTAACCCCTCTGTATACTAGAGTATTCTAGAGTCAAGCGTGAGGTCATCTCTCCGACAGCTAAATCTTGTCCGACATTGGGCCATGCAACAGGACAATGATTACAAGCACACCAGCAAATCTACAACAGAATGGCTGAAAAAGAAAAGAATCAAGGTGTTGCAATGGCCCAGTCAAAGTCCAGACCTCAACCTGATTGTAATGCTATGGCGCGACCTTAGGAGAATTGTGCATAAACAAATGCCGGCAAACCTCAATGAACTGAAGCAACGTTGTAAAGGAGAGTGGGCCAAAATTTATTTTTGACAAGGTGTATATTTAATGTGTTGTTCATCTTAGGTTGTATTAACCTAATTTTGAGACCTGCTAAGGTGATGGTTATTATGTCCTGATATGTTAAACCATAGAATTCAAAGAAGAGGTGCTTTCTTTTTCGCATGACTGTACATACATACATACATACATGCATAGTCAAAAGGTCCTATTAACACTCTGTACTGTAGGGAGCTTTGTATATGGCAAAATAATGCCTCGTGTAAGAGGGTTCATCTCATAACAGGTGTCATCAGGTTAGCATAGAAAAGGACAAGTCAAACAAAATGGTGTAAATTCACTATGTTACAGACTTGTATATGTTGCAATATATGATCATAACTATATTATATGAGCTAAACTATTCAATGGGTGCTTTAGGGTCTTTACAGCTAGTTTGTGATTCCGCTGCAGTTTGAATTTGTATTTACTGGTAACGGCAGTGTACATGTAAAGTATGCATGGTCCAGAGAGTGCAGAATTTCTGTTGCATATATTATATGGCAGTACTGAATATATACTCACTGTTTTGCACCGCTGCTTGTCACAGGTATCCCAATAACAGTCCTAATTATCCTTGCATTATAGAGATCCCCCAGGATGATGAATGTTCCACATAAGTGGGTGTATCTCATAATGGCAGTTATTAGGTTGGCATAGAGTATGACGTATTAGAGTGGGGTACATATTATGGCGGTGACAGGCTTACATAGAAAGTGGTGGGAAATAACCATTCGGCCTATCTAGTCTTACCAATTTTCTAAATACTTTAATTAGTCCCTGGCTTTATCTTATAGTTAGGATAGCCTTATGCCTATCCCACGCATGCTTAAACACCCTCACTGTGTTAACCTCTACCACTTCAGCTGGAAGGCTATTCCATGCATCCACTACCCTCTCAGAAAAGTAATTCTTCCTGATATTGTTAAACCTTTGCCCCTCTAATTTAGGACTATGTTCTCTTGTTGTAGTAGTTTACTGGCTTAGGTGTATATGAAATGGATATAGAATACCAACAAACTGTATATTGGTTACTCACCATGAGCTAGTTCAGAGATGTTTTCTGTTGCATCATCATCAGAATCTCTGTTTGGCATCACCTTGAAGCGCTCACTTTGTTTTTGCAGCCCATGTGGAAGCTTTAAGGCTCTTTCACGCTCTGCAACCAGGTCCAAATCCTGCTGTGCAAGGTGAGCCCTCAGCTGCCTAATCTCAAACTGCAGAGAAAGCAGAGGAAAGCGTCAAATATAATACAGAAATATACACAATGTTAACGTCATTTTCCTAAAATTTACACTGCCTGACATTTCAACGATCTATTCATACTGACAAGACTTATTGCTGCAGAAAACTAATGAAGAAAAATTTCCAAGCTCCTTTTCAGCTTTATACACAAAGAATATCAAACTTTCAACTCTCCAAGAGAACCTGATTTATGATTGGTAAAAGATTGATTTTACTGAAAAGAACTGGTCCCATTGGATCAATTCTGCTCTTTATGGAGTTAAAGATGCTGAATAAAGTTACTGCCATCTAGTGTTGAAAGAGAGGATGACATCTTTTTAAAGGGAAACTGTCACTTCTATGGAACCTCTACCACAGAATAACACTTTGGAAATCACCGATAACTTGTGTTAACTTTTTTTTATTTTATTTTTTAAATCAGAGATTCAGTTTTCTTTTCAATATAGATTAAAGATTTAGCAAATTATCCAGTTCACAGAAGGCAAAGCCAAGGCACGCATTGGAAATGAATAGCAGAAATAGAAATATTGTTTAATTTCTCCTCTTATCGGTCTGCTTTCTCTATGCTGACTGCCACGTGCAAAGGACAGAGCTTGTAACAATGATTGACAGGGCACTAAGATGGAGGCGCCCAGTTGAATGATCAAGATGTGTGGATTTACGTTTATTTCTCATACCTCACAAATACAGATTTCTTACATATTTTAGGACATAATATTAAAAATCCTTGTATAAGTAATGGCTCATATTTAAATTATTATTATTTTTTTGCAGTCAACTAAGAAAAGCATTTCTACAAAGATATTCAAAGAGAAAGAATAGTGCAACTGATTTTTACCAATTTAGGAAGAAGTCCACTCGTTTACATTTATTTATTTATAAAATATTTTACCAGGAAAGATACAGTGAGATTTCTCTCGTTTTCAAGTATGTCCTGGGTCCACAAATCATTGCATTGTTACAATAGGGTACAATAAAATACAAAAACAATATTAATACACAATAAATAAAAAAATTAACATAGAACAGGCAGGAAATATATAATCAACCATGACAGGTGCATTCTGTTTTGAGGTATGTAGAGAGGGATCTCTTAAAGGACTTTAGGCTTAGGGAAGATTTTAAATTGTGCAGGAGGTCGTTCCACAATTGCGGCGCTCTGTAGGAGAAGGAGGGTCAGGCTGCTTTCCTTACACATGCAAGTGTAAGGGAAAAAAAGAACAGAAACAAAAAAATAAAATAAAAGGAGGTACATTTGCTACTAAGTAAAGAATTCAACCCGCTTTGTACGGAGATAGGTTGTTGCAGATAAAGTGATCTTATAGGTCTTCCCTGTGGTCCACACCTTATGATATTGGATAAACTGGAATAGGCAGTCACATTTCTTCATAATTTCAGATTTTGTCAGCCCTGGTCTGAAGGCAGGATTGTATTATTATTATATTTGTATTCATCTATTTGCTTTTGTGAATCCCCTATTATTTTCCATGAGTGATGCATCGAATATTGACTTGAAAGTCCGAAATTTGGAGTCCAGTTTTACCACAATGAAGTATATGAATACAGTTAGGTCTGGAAATATTTGAACACTGACACAATTTTCATAATTTTGGCTCTGCACGCCATCACATTGGATTGGAAATGAAAGTGAAGACTTTCCGCTTTAACCCCTTAAGGACCAAACTTCTGGAATAAAAGGGAATCATGACGTGTCAGACATGTCATGTGTCCTTAAGGGGTTAATTCAAGGGCTTGAACAAAAGATCTTATGAAACGTTTAAGAATTTTAAGCATCTTCATATTCAGTCCCCTTATTTCGGGTTCTCAATTGTAATTGGACATTTTAATGCAATCATAAATAATATGTTCATTGTTAATACTTTGTTGAGAATCCTTTGCAGGCAATGACTGCTTAAAGTCTGGAGCAAATGGACATCACCAAATGCTTAATTTCCTTTTTTGTGAGGCTTTGCCAGTGTCACAACAGCTAGTGTGGTCCAGCATGCAGAACTATGTAACATCTACATAGATAGAACAGAAAAGGATAGAACGTAAAGCAGTCCTTAGAATGGCCGGACTAATACATTAAAAAGACAGAGAATAGTCAAGGGATAGCCGAGGTCAAGGGAGCCAGAAATACACGATATCGTTAAACAGTCAGGGAAACCAGAAGTCAGAATAGTCAGGAATAGCCAAGGTCAAAATACCAGAAATATCAAAGACAGGACAAGAAAACGCACTCTCGGGAACCAGGAACGGAAACCACGACAGGGCAATGAACCAAGGAACTTCAGGGATTTAAATATCCCTCCTTTGGCTGTGATTGGGTCCGAGGGTGACCTCTGACCCCAGAACGTGAGTGTGCATCAACGTTGTGACGTCACACATACAGTCGCGCGACCCTGGGGGTGGGGCTATATGTGGTTGGCGCCATATTGGTTAAGGACAGGCGGCCAGGAGGACCTGGCGGAGCGGTTTCTGACTCGCTGCTGAGCAGGTGGGCGCATTTCGTTGGCGCCGGTCACACCAGCTGGGTGCTATCACACCTCGCGGCGAGCCAGGGGCCATGACAGCCAGGCCTTTATTGCTGCTGTCTTCAGTTGTTTTTTGCTGTCTTTCTGCCTTAAAGTTTTGTCTTCAGCAAGTAAAATGCATTCTCGATCAGGTGATTGACTCAGACTTTGCCTTAAAAACTCCTGGAATGCTTTTGCAGTATGTTTTGGGTCATAGTTCATCTGTAATGTATGGTTTCATCCAATCAACTTTGCTGAATTTGGCTGAATCTGAGCAGACAATATATACACTATAGATTGTATAAACAATATATACACTGGATACTTCAGTTTTCTGTCACATCATCAATAGACACGAGTGACCCAGTGTCATTGGAAGCCATCTGTCACATTCGCCGATGGTACACAACTGTCCCGGGTGGCCTGCAACGCCCTAGAGGTCAGTCCGCAGCGGTAATAGTGGTTGGAAGAAGTGTGGCTGAGGGGCAGAGCCAAGAAAATGATGCATCCAAGGGGAAGTCCCACAGTTAGTCCTACTGACCACAGGTGAGAACAGGTTATGTGATTGAGATACTCCTTTATAAGAAGAGCACGCCTTTCAATCAGTGCTTTCAATCAGTGGTTGTTTGTTGCCTGTCTCAGAACTCCAAGCACTTCCTTCACTGTGTTTCAGGTCCTTGCTGGTTTCCTGACTTTGCCTGGTCCCCGATTTTGCTGTTTGCAGCCTGCCCTGACCTCTGGACCGTCTGACTCCGATTTCTGCCAGACCCTTCCACTGATACCGTTGTCTTGGATTTTCTGTTATTTTATTAAAGTCTTCCTGCCATCACTGACCATACAGAATTCAGGTTTCACCCTCAGGATCTGAGGGTTGTTACTGCACTCGAGTTCCAGGACTGAACATGTTTCCAGTGGGTTGTTACACCATGCATGCCCATGCCATCATACTGCCTCCACCATGTTTACAGATGGTGTGGTGGGCTTTGGATTATTAACAGTTCCAAGCCTTCTCCATACTTTTTTTCTTCCCATCATTCTGGTACAGGTTGATCATCTGTCCAAAGAATACTGTTCCAGAACTGGGCTGACTTTTTTTAGATGTTAGTCTAATCTGGCCTTTCTATTCTTGAGGCTTACGAATGGTTTGCACCTTGTGGTGATGGCTCTGTATTTACTCTCGTGATGTTTTTTATTTATGGTAGACTTGGATATTGATATGCCTACATCCTGGGGTGTGTTCATTTAGCTGGATATTGTGAAGAGTTTTTCTTTACCATGTCAAAGGATCCTACAATTATCGACCACTGTTTTCCGTGGACACCCAAGCCTTTGTGTGTTGCAGAGCTCACCAGTGCTTTTTTTTCCCCCTCAAAATTTACCAAACTGTTGATCTGGCCACTCCTAATGCTCGGACTACTTTCCTGATAGATTTTATTTTCTGGCCTATTTCACTTGCACTGAGAGCTCCTTTGAACGCATGTTGTGGGTTCACAGCAACAGCTTCCAAATGCAAATGCCCATATTGTCAGTTATAACAGGTGGAAAATTGCGCTTTTAAAATCTTATTTTAAGGGCATACATACAAAAAAATATAGCAGCACCTTTTGGGTGTGAATCCAAACACTTGCAAGTTCAAAAGGGTAAAATAAAAAGGTGTGCTGTGTCTTTAAATGTTTAAAGTAAAAAATTCAATACTTTTGTGCAAAATTGTAATGACTTAAAGTGAAAGAATTAAAGTGCAATCAATAATGCTTGATATTGGTGCCACACAAGTGTAAAGTGCACTCTGCGGAAAATGTTTTCAAAATTTCCACAACTTACAAAATGATATTTTCTCAAACCACTCAAAGAGGTAACAGATATCCATACACATGCATAAGATAAAAAAGGGAAGGGGAAAGTGATAATATATGTTTGCCCCAGTTATGCTAACATTTTTATGGCAGAATGGGAACAGGACTTCATATATGATCGTCCTGAATGGGGGTCAAACCTGGTCACCTATCGCAGATACATAGATGATCTGATTTTTATTTGGAATTGGTCTATATCCAGCTTGGAAAACGTTCCACATGAGCTTAATACCAACGAATGGGGCATCAACCTTACTAGTGAATTTAGTAAAACAAATATAATTTTTTGGGGATTTAGAAATCTATGTAGAAAATGGAAACCTAAAAACAAAAAATTATTTTAAGAAGGTTGATGCCAACAATAACGTTTTATATAATAGTGGTCACTATACTCCCTGGCTTAATAATATACCAAAAGGACAATTTCAGAGAATTAAAAGAAACTGTACCGAAGTAGATATTTTCAAGAGCAAGCAGGGACACTTATTAGGAAGTTTGAAGAAAAAGGTTATAAGAATGTTTTAATATTTATACATTTTAATATGTTTTAGAGATATATATATACACACCTATGAGTCAGTGCAAAGTATATTTTTTTTAATAAAGTATATATTCTTAATACAGGTTTTCCTTTTTACATATAATGTCTCTTTTTTTAAATATATCTGGACCTAACTATATCTTCTCCGCTCTCTGCAGTAATTACAGCTTGCTCCAGCTTATTTAAGGAGTTCATTTTGTGAATAATTTTATATGGACATTTCTTCATATAGTTGAACAGTATTAGCAGGTTTATATAGCATTATAAATCTTCCACTATTTAGTGATGGACATAACGGCCTTCAAAGGAAATTATCGAGGGACGTAAAATCATTGTCTTCATAGACGCTGCTTTGGACTAATAGAAGCTTAAAAACCTTTATTATCAGAAAGATGTTATTAATAAATTAAATTGATTTAAAACTTTGTCTGAAATCATTTTATATAGAAACGTTTACATGATCGTCTGGCTAGCTGTCCCTCTCTTCTTTGGTTTAGAAGAACTGTCAGAGGAAAATTTAGCATTTCAAACAGACCATCAATTTAGCGGAAACGTGGTGATATATCACTGAAAAATATGACTTTGTCATACAATGCTCATATTCCTGAATGGACGTGTTACAAAATCCTCTAGAATCCCTATTACATTCTCAGCATCCTGCATTAAATCAGACATGACAATCTTGAAATGTCAAATATCCCAACCTTGATATTTTAACAACTACTTTGTTGTCTGTGCCACTAGAGGTGGAGTTAACTATCTAAGGCAATTATTGCAGTTTGTCAAAAACTGAAATAATTACCATTGCAGAGTTAAGGACACTGCAACCATTTCAATGAGCTATGTGCCTACAGTGTCCCTTTAAGAACAGTCTAACACTTACCGGTCTCTGTGGTTACTTATATTTACTTCTGGAACTCAATAAATTTTACAGTTTAGATGATATATTAATATGAGCATTATAATAAGCATTTTAAATCACTGCTCTTCTTTTATATTAAAAAATAAAATAAAAAGTAGCGCTTGCACTCAGATGTTTCAACAATCGCTTTTGGAAATTAGAACTATGGAGGAGATGATGGCCTCCCTATACCATTATACCAGACACAGGAGCATTATCGCTCCTGTCTCTGGAGCGATGCCTCCCTACACCATTATACCAGACAGGAGCATTATCGCTCCTGTCTCTGGAGCGATGCCTCCCTATACCATTATCCCAGACACAGGAGCATTATCGCTCCTGTCTCTGGAGCGATACCCATGGCTGAATTTCCTAGGTTGGGGAAGGTAGTCACTTTTCTATCTATTGTTGCTTTTTATATATATCTTTCCCCCTCCTATTTCTTATCTTTTCCCTGTTCTATCGCATGTGGGTAGTCTGCCCTTTACCTTAGCTGTCTCTTTGGTCTGTTATTCATAGTCCCCTACCAAAGCACATCAGCTTTTAGATTTAGTCCAGGGCTTGCTTTGCTCTACCTGAGTCACATTATCTTAACAATTTTAGACTACAAAATGAGGTTCACCACTAGTTTGTCATCCCCATGAGCATTTTTTCGGATATCTCCATTATATTGCTGTGATTTCTACCTCTTGATGACCATTTTTCTGGTTTACCTCCCCTGCAAGGGACTTTTTCTCCTGATGTGTTTTTGTCTTTGTTTGTGAATTGATCAAAAAAGTATGAAAATTTTCAATAAAGGTTGACCAAAAAAAATAAGATAAAATGAAGTTACAAAATGTTAGCATATATGTAACATATTTTGATTCCAGACAAAATTCGTAGCAGAACTGTGCCACATGGGAATCAATGACAATGATATACAATTCCAATACCTGCTGTGAAATACCAGACTATAGGACAACCTTTGCTGCTCTAGGTGCTGTGAAATGCATCCCCCATGATATCGCTCAGCTTCCCCATATGCAAAGTATCATGGGAAAATGTCCACAGCATCCAGCATGTTAGATGATTGGCTCTAATGAATAGTAGTGACAGTACAGAAAAATAAATGATTTATTCACTACACAATGAATTATAGCGAATTGAATGCTAAACTGGAACATTCAGACTAAAATAATTAAGCTGTGACTATGCAAAAGTTTGACAATAACTCCAAACTAGCTATTATGACCTGAATTGTGCAATTCAGTTCCCTGGATTCACTGTTTAGTCAATAACCACTAAATAATTAGCATGCAGGTTAACAGAGTTCGAAAAGAAGGCATAGCCATACAAAAACAATAAAAAAATAAAGTATTTACGGTAGTAAAGAACTGTAAAAGAGTGTGCTTGTAGAAAAATGTATAGTATATAATGGAAGAAAGAAAAAGAAAGGAATGACAGCAAAATGGACATGTTTATACATACTTTTCTGTTTGTTTGTTTTTTAAGTGGACGAATATAATTTGGATGTCTGTAAAAATAAATAATATTTTAAAGAAAACAAAATTATTTATAACGAATGGAGGATACAGCAGTACAAAAAAACAAACAAAATAAAAACCAATGTATATATATATATATATATATATATATATATATATATATATATGTTTAATAAAAAATAATGGTAATGACAAATACTATAAATACAGAAATAAAAACAAGCTTGTGATACTTGTTGTGGCCACTAGATGGGGTGCATGACATGTTTAAGGGTAGAAACATATTTACAGGGCTTTTATTCACCCATAAAGTGGCATGCGATGACTTTATAACTTAGTTGCAAATGTTAGGCTACACAGTCAATTGGGAAAAATATGTTGGCACAGAGACTGGAGATTTTATTTATTTTCTAACTTAGTTAAGCAGGCACAACGTTTGTGATTTTCAATACATCATATATTGTTCTGTGAATCCAGCCCGAGGCGCACCTATTTCGAAATACAGTACTAGGACAAAGAAAATAACTGTAGCACAGAGAGGGGTAGATGCTGTATATTTGTACAGCCTTATTGGTAGTTTACAATAATCCCCGAGATTTGCTTTATTTATAATATTACTTCTAGTGGGCCAACATATTCCTCAGCACTTTGTCATTTGTTTAATGTTTTATATATTGCATTGTGAAATTTAAAACAAATGGTTAAAAAAAATAAAACAAATAGTTAAAAAAATAAAAAAAATAAAGGTGAGCAGAGCCCTAATAAATCCATCTATTCTACCTCTTTGATAACTGACCATATGTGAGTATTAAAACAAAACACCATATGAGACATGAAATGTGCTCATCTGTCCATTTTTTGTCTACTAATCCCACCACAATGTGTGGTTATTCTTTTTCTGCATATATTTTGCCATTGTCTTTACCTTTTTTTTTTTTTTTTTTAAACCTGATAATTTATGTCTAGCAGGTTGGAACATTAGCCAATCACACTCAAGACAAATTCAAATGATCAAACTAACAGTGTAACCTGATTCTGCAAATTTACAGATTCATTCCTTTTCTGCAGTGGTTTTTAGATCTATCAGCTGGGAAACAATCTATAAAGGGGGTCTTTATCTACTTCTTTTATTTTTAACTTGGCTAGAAAAGGAGAATTGGCACCTATAACATTTGTTAACATTTTCATCATGAGATTCTCCACCAAGCATAGAGCTTATGACAATGATTGACAGGGATAGAGGAGCCCAGTTGTTGGATAAAGAGGTGTAGATTTTCTACATTGAATTTAAATTATCCCATCTCAAAAATATGTTTGTAAAATATTTGAATTCGTAATAAAATATTAAAACGCCTAAAAAGTTACAGTTCCCCTTTAACCCCTTAAGGACCAAACTTCTGGAATAAAAGGGAATCATGACATGTCACACATTGGAAACACAATGGAAATTCCTCGCATGGCACTGGTGCCGTAGGTTGCCTACCCCTGCTCTAGGCAAAGTGAGCATGCAGTCCACATCTGGATTACCCTTTTAACTTGGGGAGAGCCAATTTAATGCATTGCAACAAAAACAGAGAATATGAGAATGATGTTTTTTGTATATATTATTGAGGTCCTTGATGGGGAATACCTCTAATACCTGCACCACCCAGTAACTGAGTGCCAACACAATCAATAATTTTGAATATGAGAATGGGCCAAAGCTTAGAAAAATTCAGTAGCTTGCCCTTCGGTTAGTCCCCAGTCAGGTTTCAAAAATGTTTAATGTGTACCCAAAAAACAAATCATTTTAAAAGCAGATCCAAAAATATTAGATTGAGGCCACTTTTTATTTTCATCACATCTATTATATAACTTTCAACAGAAGACATTGTTGTTTTGTAGAAGTGAGTGGTTTGGCCATAAAGCCATACCACCGAGTTAAAGTTTCACTGGTTTGGAGTTAAACTCTGTCCTTATTCTGCTTTGTTATTTTTTTATTTTTTTTTTGACTGGCCTGATATATACCAGTAAGCTCCAGTCTGTTTGATAAAAATTTAACTTACTGCTTGTTCTTGGCACAACTGTGTCAGTCTGTCCAGCTGCTCCTCCTGGATGAGTTTGGCTTTCTCATACTGCTGTACCATAATCTCCATTTCCACTTTTACAGGCAAGACATAAGCTGCAAGAAAAGCAGGGATTTCATGAATGGCTGCTTACACCTCTATATTGACTTGCTCCATCAATTACTGATATCTGTGTTAGCTGTGGTAATCGCTTTTAGTATAAATTATTAGTATCCACAAAGAGTGTGAGTACTCATTTTTATGTAATCTATTTCTGAAATACAAAAGAATTGTTAGCAGAAGTATTGGGAATTTTTCTAGCTGATAAGACAAGTGTTATATGTCTCAGTAAAATATTCTGCCTCAGAAAGAAAAGGGGTTAATATTTCAGTGAGGGGTGTTAAAGTTGAAGTAATGGGTTAGAGGTTAGTTGACTACCCCTGATTCCTGATGGACATCTTGAAAAAATGGTAAAAGGAACTCTGGAGAAGGATGTGGTACATACAGTGCGTCAGCATTCTAAACACTGTGCTACGTTGTTAAAATGCTGGAAAGTGTACAGACTGTGATAAAGCGGTAGTATTACTTGTGTCACCAACGTCACATGTCCTCTTGGCAGGCAGATCCACGGAGGGAAAACAGATTTCCTTCTATGAAAATCTCCCTTCCCTGCGCCTCATTCCTCAGTTCTATATTCAGCTTCAGGCACCAAGTCACTACTGTACTCTGACACGTGTGAATAAAGCAATACATATAAACAAGGTAATCCTTATTCTGCCTTCAGATAGCTTTTCATTGCATTGGAATTTGAATGTAATGGAAATGAAACTGTGCCCAAATCTTGAATTATTCGTGAATTTCATTAGATCCTCCAAAGAATGCTATTTCTCAGCAAACTTAAAATAGCCAGAGAATGCAGATTTATTTAATAAATATGTGAACTTACACCAGTCTTAACTCAGTGTTTATAACAATATTTGACAATTTAGCTGTAAATTCCAAACACGATAAAATAACCATCTATGGATTAGAGATCTGTGCCGTAGCTGAAGAATGAGTATGGTGTCAGCTTTTTTTGGGGTATCACTGGAGGATTAAGGTAAGTTAGAGTTGAGTGATTTCTTTAAAACTGAGCGTTTACTGAATTTTTGAAGAGTCCAATGAAAAGTTGAGAGTCCTATGTAACATTTGATTGGTAGAATCCTTAACTCTATGTTCCCTCCTGACATCACGAGTCCATTGAACAAGATCAGCCTGTGGGAAGGACCGAGTGAGTAAGCATTGGATTGATGAGTAAACACGCTCCTCAATGTATTCCTTTGGAACACGGAGTTCAGCATTTAGAATTATGTGTTTGATATATCGTCCCCTAGCAGAATTACTCTAAAAGGCAGCTGCTACATATTTCTTAATTACAAGGCTAGCATTCAGACATTTTTTTTTTTTTTTTTAAATAACATTATCAGATTGAAAGTTGTTGCTTCTCTTACCATCTATAATCCTCTTCACTCTCCATATTCTCAGTGAAATAAAGAGACTAATCGCATCCCAAGGACTTCTAGGTCCATTAGCCACTGTTGAGGCTACCATTGGAGCCAATGAGAGAATAACCACTGCCCCATCCAGCACCTGTCATACACATAGGAATATGAAAATATGAATGCATCACAAGGAAAGATGAACAATAATGCATGAAATATAATACAATGGTTGTTAAATGCGCAGAAGTTGGCACACAAGCTGTAAAGAAGCTAGTTAGGGACACCTTACTTAGGGTAGTAGCACTAAAATAACTTTTGCTTAAATAAGTGGTTTTGGTGTATAGATCAGCAATCTCATTACTCAGTTTTATGCCAATCAAGAGTTAAATCATTTTGTTCATGCACCATAGCCACACCACCCCTCACAAAGCCTCCATGAAGAAATTTTTTTTTAGTAATTTTAATCAGCTTTTACAGCACAGAGTGTTTACTTAAGAAGTTATAATTGCCTGCTCTGATAATTGAACTTTGATTATACACATGAGACTCTAGCAAGAGGTTAGAAATTCTAAATTGAAGGGATATTCTACTACTTAAATACAAAAATAAAAAATAAAAATACATATCGCTGTTTAATAGATCTCTTTACCTATAATTTTGCTAATCTTTACAGCACCGGATCTTTATTCAAGGAACCTCCATCTTCTAAGTACTGGGAGTGATGTTACATACCTGCCTTCTTCTGCTCAAGTTTGTGACGGGATCATAATCCTGTGCATGCTCATTGAGCACTAGTTAGCCTTGGGAGCCACCAAAATTTACGTTTCGTCCACATACATTCAGTTCATATCAGATTTTCATTGTCCGACCTTTGTTGGGTAATCTGAAAAGTCAAACTGCTCTAATTCCCTCAAAGTGAGTCTAAGGCCCATCAAAATTCTAACTGTAAAAATTGTGTGCCAGACCGACAGGTCACTTAGGACTGGTACAGGTTTCCCAACCACCACCTCCCTCTAAAAAAGGACTATATAGCTACTATTTGCCCTTCTAGTCCGTGACTCCAAGGCAAGAGCCCCCTTTCCGCTGTCCAGGAGCTCTCATAGGCTGGCAGGGAAGCCAATGAGGCACAGTGCGCCTGACCGGTAGCTCTGGAACTCAAAATCGGATCATTTCAAGGGACTGGGATATCTACCCAGTGTAGTGAAACTCTGAGCCGGATTGGAAGATGGCCTCGGCATGCTGAAAACGTCACCTTCCACCTAACCTTCGCTAGCCACCTCTGATTCAAGTGCTTTTTGGGCAGATTGGGCAATCAGAAGAGATCTTCTTGGGGATGGCACAATTGTGGGGATGTGGGTATCCTAAGTTGTATGTATTTTCTTTACCCCGGTGCCAAGTTGTCTGGCTGCTAATTAAATTTACTGCTCAGGTACAGACACCAAGGCATTGGCGATGTTGCAATTCTATTGTTCTCCCTGGGGACCTGCTATTGAGGCCCCAGTTATAAAAGTGTGATCAATGTGACAGTAAAATCTGTTCTTCTTCATCCTTCACAAAGTCTCGGCTCTGTTTGGGTGAGAGAGCAATAACACAGCAGCAAGGAGCTTTAATTACTCTGGGCTATGAACACACAAGAAAAAGGGGACTCAGCAGTGACAACGTAGCTGCTCGTGGGTTGACCACTACAAATTGAAATGGTCAGGTGTCTTATATGGCACTATAGCTTCACAGAATTGTGAGAGAGACGTACATTGGGAGTATTGTTGCACTCAGAAGACGCAGCTGAACATAATTGGGGTCTTTAACAGGAGTAGCACAAACCCAATATTAAAAACTTATTATGTGAACAAAAAAAACAACAAATTTTACTAAAACATTTTGCAGAGATTGGCAGTTAAATGGTTACATATTGTCAAAATACATTTAGGCAAATGGCCTATGACGTCAGCCCATGATGTCTGCTTTATATAAATATATATTGTGTGGCAATTTTGTTTTTTAAAAAATTAAATGAAATTCTTAGACATATGATGTACTCTGTAAAATCAGGACAAATAAATGAATTTATTTCGAAATACTTTTCTCAAGTTGCACGAATTGTGCACACATTACTCCCAAAACTGTGTTTTCGTATAATAAATGAGAATTTACATGAGTATGTGTCAAATCAAATTAAAGAACGTTTTATCTTGGGAAAAAACAAAACAAAAAAATAAACATTATGTAATATTTGTTGGTGCAATACAGTAGATAGAATAGATACAGTAGATATAATACAAGACAAGGATAGTACGCTATCCTTGTCTTGTATTATATCATTATGTATACATATAAGCATATTTAGTAAATATCCTGGCCTACCCTTTTTAATCCTCTCTGCTCAGAAGCACTGCTAATCCAATAAAAGACCAGTCAGGTAATTAAATTAGTATATGTCCACAAATCCAAATGTCACATGCAAGTGATGTGCTCATTTGACTCATTTTTGCTCACAGTGTTGCAGATCCCAATAATCAAAATATGGCTGCCTCCAAGGAGCAGGGTAAATCAGGCGATGCATACATTTAAGTTAAAAACAATTTTTATTGTATTACAATAATAGACACACAGAGGTTGCGCTGTAATACATGCATTCTTTTATTTTCAATCATTCTAAAACTAGGATGACACATTTATTTAAGGATACATTTCTTGCAACCTCAAGAGGGAGGTTTGACTTGTAATTTCAGGATAGTAAATACATCATGCAAAGGTACTCACCTCGACTTTATTTTCGATGTAATCCCAAATGCCAAGAATAATAATTCTTAAAATTGTCTAATTGAAAGAAAATAAAAACGTACAAATGACAAGTTAGAAAATTGAAACCTATCACTTTACTCAGCATTCTTATCTCCAAAACGTAATGCATCGTATAATGCTGGTAAAGGATTGTAGGAATTGCAGTTGTAGAACCCCCCCAGTGATATAGCATTCTACAACCAAAATTTCCTATTGCAATATAAAACACTCCATTATTTTATTTAGTTCAACTCGTATTTTCAACAAAATTAAATTAAATGTATGTTATTCCATATAGCCCACTTTGAAAGCTTATCTTACCGCACCATATATAAAACTAATCTATGTTTATTGTGTTATATGTGAAAGGGATACTTTTGGTCACCAAACACATTTTGCTTAATGAAGCATATTGTTGTGTATAGATCAAGTGAAGTCTCACTGCTTTTTAGGAGTTAAATCGCTTTTGTTTCTGTTTATGCAGCCCTAGCCATACCACCCCAGGCTGTGACTGACACAGTTTCAGTTTTAATCAGATGTTAACTTACTTTAAAAAAAAAAAATGCTCTGTAAAATGAACTGTAATCACACGAGGCCCTGCAGACTCTAGCAGGCTATCAACAGAGCAAGAGATAAAGTCTATCTTAAAAATAGTTTGAAATAAAGGTAAAGTAAACTTTAGATGACTCTTTACAGAAAATGTTTAGGGAGGCTGTGTAAGTCACATACAAGTTGGTGTGACTAGGGCTGCATAAACAAAGCGATTAAACTTGTAAATGGGACTTAGACTGCAGGAGCATAATCTATACATCAAAATTGCTTTATTGGGGGACGGAGCTAAGCAGCACACTGAGCTAGATGCCATTTCCCTGAGCTCCAAGCACGCCACACCAAATAAAGCGACAAAATCCCAGACACCGAGAGTCTAACCAGCGAAAAAATGTCACCATCATACAGGGGAAGCGGCCCCGAGCAGGCAGATGCCATTAATTTTCCCCACGAGTGTCAAAAACCGACGGCGGGGAAACCGGGCCTACAGAGCGGGAATCCCGCGGGACCTGAGTGCGGCATACTGGGGCTTCCTGCATACTGGAGGTAACTTGCATACGGCAAACAGCCAACAAACCCCTAAAGAACCAGACATGGGGCGCAAAAAGCCCACTCCACCTACCCCAAAAGACGGGCAAGACATCGGCCAGATGCTGGCGGCCTCTGTATGCACGAGAGTTATGACAGCTACACAGCTAGAGGCTACTCCAACGCCACCCACAGCGGGAATAGTAATACCTGAGGCCGCAGCCATAGTAAACGGAACGGCCCCATCCACAAAGCAGGACATTCACAATTTACTCATGCACTTCCAAAACATGTTTTCTGCAGAGCTGAATGTGGTCAAGACAGAGATGCAGGCAGTTGGTGACAGGGTACAGGCTACTGAGGAGGACATACAGGATCTCAATCAAGGGATGACTACCCTGAATGAATCTGTCCAGCAACTAAGAGCATTACATACCTCACTATCCACACGAGTGGACTACTTGGATGACAGAGGAAGGCAACGTAACATAAAAATCCGAGGGGTAGCAGACTCACTCCCCCCGGAAGAAATTCCCCACTTCATAAGGCGTTTGGCAGCAACCATCTTACCTGCAAAATCCGCCAAAATTCACCTTTGATGGTGCATACCGCATCACAAAATCCTCACAAGCGCCCACCACGGCACCTAGAGACCAAACCGTGGCAGACAAACAAAGGCTCCTCACGGCACTTAAAGGGAAAACCCCGCTCATAACTGCAGCTCTACAAACTGCGGGACTAGCCTACCGCTGGACTTACCAGAGATCCCTCACAGTATTTCGAGAGGGAAAGGCCCTGCGAGCAACTAGCCCCACAGAAGGTCCGGCCTTCCTTCAGTCCCTGGGCATAACGGAAGCAACCCCATCAACGAGCTCCAATCACCAATGGGACGTAACGGCAATTACTCCCTTTGTGCCAGGGAATGAACAGGACTTAAAAACCTAAAGTCCGGAAAAGAACCAACTGTTTTTGTTTTAGTTTCATCCTTTGCTTTTATGCATTACTTACATTTGACCATGTTACCTACATGTGCATAACTATGCCTAGATACCACTGATAACCATACAACCGCCACATGGCGGTCCACCAAGTGCTGCTATAGCGACACAAACACACCCCAATAGATAGCTCTGAATGCCCCAAAAGTTATATGGGGTTTAAAGCTCATAATACCCCCCGCACATAGCCTCATGGGTTAGAGGCCACACAACACCCAGGAGACACACTAACGCCACAGACACATAGTCACATGTTTCTTAGCCTACACGAAGGAAAAGGCGGACACTTCGACTACCCACCACCAGGCTCCTGGGCACCACTCATCTACCGATAGTTATCATTTAAACAAAAAAAATAGGTGAACACACTAGACATCATTGTTTGCAAATACTGCACATGCTTATATACTGTGATACAATGAAACTGCTGTATTGTCATATATCACCTGCCAAAATAAAGAATTAAATTAAAAAAAAAAAAAGCTAAAGTTGTTTTGAACATAGTGTCACTTTAACAATTAACGCTATGGATGGATGGTATCAGTTAAGCATGCAGACATGGATGGACCATAGAAATCTGTTTAGCATCAGTTGAGGCTCTCAGAAAGTGTGGTCCTGCATTATCCATGCTTTAGACTATAGGGACATCTGCCTTCTACTGTAGGAAAAGACCAGATATGGCACAGGTACTCAGGTTATGGTTCTTGGAGTGTTTCTTTAATTACAGCTTTTAAAAAACAAAGCACAGAAACAAGACCAATTTTGTTACTTTGATTTAACAAATTGTAAAAAAATAAAATAATTTAAATTAAGGAGGTTTCTCACCTCGACAAAGAACATGGACAAAATGGATAGACTGATCCAATGGATGATTCCAGAACACTGGGGTGCATTGGAAACTGAAAAAATAAATAAAAAGGAAGAACAGGAAGAAATGGTCAAACATTGAAATAGGAATTCAGACTAGCATTATACATTAACATGTTATATACATTCTAATACTGTACAAATAGGATCTGACTAGTGCTCGCGTAAAATTAATTATTATACTATTATTCAACCACAGGTGCGGAACATACACCTTTACATATTTTGCATACAAATAGTAGTTTTAGTCTGAAAAAGAACTTTTGTCTTTGAGATCAATCTGCTGATTGTGAGCTACTTGAAATTGAGCTGCATATCTACAGGTTGTCCATAACGGACTCACATTGGAGGAGCTTTGTATCGATGAGCAGTTCTACGGTCATTAGAATAACCACCAGAATCACACAGGCCACCAAGACAATGTTTACACCAGCGTTAAGCAGGAAAGAATGCCACACAGTGGCTCTTTTACCACAGCACGGCTTCAGCCAGCTAGACCTAAAAAACAAAAAGGAAAAACAAGCACAAAATCCATTAGGGATCCAAGTGGATATCGGAAAAACACTGATTTGATAGACAGTCTGAGACATAGATGAATATATTTTATTTGCTATCCCTAACAAGAATGACGCTACAGAAATAACCTTGGAAATGTCTCCCAATCGGGCGTGGCACAGCAGAGCCACAACATTTTTGAATTTTATTAAAGACACGGAGGCTCCTATTATGCATATCTCTTTCTTTATTACTCTCAGCAGTAAAGATAGAGAAATATAAATATATCAAAATTAAAGAAAAAACTGTAAGGCACACAGGCAACCAATCACATAACAGAGGAAGTGACTATAAAAGGCTGTGTCTCCCACAACCCCCCTCTTTCTTAGCTGCTCTCAGACCAGATAAGTACTCACTTGCTCTACTATGCTGGCGATTGTATATTTATTATATATTTTATTGTATCTATTTTACTGTGCTGTTTGGGGCTTTTACTTAACTTGTTGCCCTATCCTATGCCTGTGTGGTGTGCCCTGCTGGGATTCTCCCCTCCCGACCGGTCAAACCTTTTCCTGGCCGTTTTTCCCCTCCCCTGTCCCTCTCCTCGGGTCGTGAGTAGCCATGAGGGTTTGCGGTCAGGCAGGCACTTGCGAGCCTCTGCTCATTTCAGCGGTGGATCCCTGATGCAGATGGGTCGGCCACGTGGGTAGTGTGCATGCGAACTTCCCCTGCTGTTTGCTCTCCATGAGGTGCTCCTCCATACCTCGTGCGGCGGCCATCTTGGACCAGAGTTTTTGCCACGATTTTACCACGAGCTTGCAGGGTTCCCTCTCTCCTTACTCGGCCCTCCTCCTCCTCACCCTGCCAGCCTCTGAGTCTTTTCCTGGGCACACCACCGTTCAGGTATTCTGTGTTGCTATTATTTGTATGCCTATTAACCTTTTTCTTTCCTGTGGGTTACTCAACCCTGTCCTGCTAGGTACATACTTATTTAATTTTTCTTATTTATTTTTTCTTGTCGTACATAGCATGCATTTTATATTTTTTGTCATGCTCCTATCACCCTGTTTGTGAGTTTGTGCTTTGCCATCTATAAGTGATAAAGGAAAATGCATGTGTGTCCAGATCACATGGGGTTTTAATTTGCAAAGTTAACGTTACTTGCGAGACCTGATCTTACAATGTATTTCTGTTTATTTTATTTGTTTAAAATTAATTAAAATATTCTCCTTTACACCTACGTGTTATTACAGGCTTGCAAGTCCACTTTGTCAAATAGACATTACTTTTTATCTTTTATATGTTAACCCATCTTGCTATGCAGGCTGAGGGTGATGGGCCTGAGGGCCGATCTGATGATTTTTCTTCAGGTGCAATTGGGGAGACTGTGACCTCTGGGAGGTTTGTCAGGCCTTACTAGCCTCCAATATAGCGTATTCCATGCCAAGGAGCTTTTTTACCTCAGCCCTGGGAACAGAGTCGTCTTCGCTTTCCCAGTTTTTTTGACACAAGCTCCCTTAGTGCCTGCTCTACTGAGTATGGGCTCCCCACCTCCTTCTGTCCTGCCACGCCCTGGGCCTGTAAGACTACGGCGGAGGCTTATCTCATCATCTCCCACTCCTTGATGCAGGTCCTGCCTGTTATGACAGACTGATGGTGAAAGATGGTGTGCTCCCACCGCGCAAATGAGCTCCTGGTCGGGCATAAAACACCAGACTATGGATACGGGCTAGTCCCCGTGATAAGAGGTCGGTCACCGACCGGAGTGAGGAGAAGGACTCTGAGGTTATGGTAGGATGGTTCCCCCACACCATGGTGACCCTTACTGGGGCTACTGCCCCCGTTCAGGTACTCCCGCTCGGGTGGGTGTTAGGGGTCCGACCCCTTTTGGGTCCTTTTTTTTGGGCAATTTTGTCTTCACAATGTCCCGGTGACAGCAGAACACATTCCAGGCCTGGACACTTCTAGGGCCGATTGGAATTCACTTTTATTCTAGAGATGCTGGAGACTGGCGCTGGTGGATCTGTTGGCATCTTGCCTTAACACCTAGTTGCCGAAGTTTTACGGCTGGAGGACGGTACCTATCGACTGTAGCGATTGACTCGTTCATTCAGGATTGACCGGATACTTGGATGTATGCCTTCCCTCCGTTCGACTTGGTTGCTCACAGGCTCTTGCAATTGGCCCAGCACTAGGTTGCGTTGGTGTTAATTGCTACTCTGCGGATGTCGCACCCATGGTTCCCTCGATTACTGAGAATTGCAATAGTTTGCCCAGGTTTGATTCCAAGCGCTCAGAGCCCTTCTAGACCCAATGGGGACATGCTTAGTGGACCAAGGCCTTCTACACCGGATGACGTGACTCCTTTCGGGGTGCTTGGATTATCTTGGACATTCCGCGATCAACTCCCCATCTCCTCGGTATCACATGGACACCGGGTAATCGATCAGCCTTCGGTCATCATGACAAGTGTGGTCCAGTTGATGCGTGGGACTAACACTGGTTTCCGTATCTAACCCTCGACATTGGATTTTGGGAATTTCCTAGTTGGTCGACATCCTTCGTAGGTCATCTATGTAGAGAATACACCATGCTAGGCCACCTGGAGCTGGAATTTTTACCCTACATTCAGGACGTTTTTGACACTATGGCCAGTGGAGTGTCTGAAAACTTACCTGGAGGTTACGCAGCGACTACGTTCTCCAGACCTTGCACTTTATTTTCCTTCCACGCTTCCCACCTACTGGTGTCCACTCCTACATTGGCGCAATAGGTTTAATGACTGCTATGTTGGCTGGTATCGACATGTCGTTTGTTACATCCCACTTGGTATATGGAGGTATGATGTCTAAGGCCTCGGAGGGCGGTTGTCGTTTGGAGGATACCTTACGGGCTGTTGTCCGGTGGCAAGAATCGAGTTTTGTGATTTTCTATTTCAGGCCGATTGACCACATTGCATCTCATATGGTGGCTCAGCTTTGAACTTGCATAATAGGAGCCTCCGTGTCTTTAATAAAATTGCCAGATTTTACTATTAACATGACGTAAAGTCATGATTTTATTAAAGACATGGAGGCGAGTATTATTCCCACCCACCCTCCCGGTGTTGGGTTTTGGGATGAGATGCTGTTGGACTTTCAGGTATGTTGCAATCCAGTCTGTTTATTGTATATATTTATTATGTATATTTACTGATGAGGAAGACAGCCAATAGAGGCTGGATTAACCCAGCAATGTAAACATAGCAGTTTCTCTGAAACTGCTATGTTTACAGCTGCAGGGTTAAAACCTGGGGGATCTGGCACCCAGACCACTTTATTGAGCTGAAGTGGTCTGGGTGACTATAGTGGTCCTTTAAATAGCCTTTTACTGCTGCATAACATTGATAACAATAGGCATGGTAGGATTTACCTGACCGGGATTTATAGAACACTAAGAAATTACAGTGAATACGTTTTTTTGTTGTTGTTTTAATTCTTTATTTTTGCTTTGACAGCTTATACATCATGCGCGCAGTAAAAAACAAGGGCATGTGCAGCGAGTGCTGCGCATAAGGTCCTCCCCATACAAAAGCATTAAATCAATACTTTCCTATGGGGAAATAGCCAATGCTGAAGGTCCATAGTCCAGCGTCAGTTACCAGACCAATAGTCAGGTTAACAGTCAGGAAGCGCCACTGGAGGCAGATTTAGTGCTGCAGTATACACACTGCAGTTTCTCTGGAACTGCTATGTTTTACATTGCAACACTAAATGCAATAGGGACACTGAAATGGGACGACTTCAATGAGCTGAAATGGTCCGGGTGCCTACAGTGTCCCTTTAAAACATAGCTGACTTACAGGGTTTTTTCAGTTCAGCTATTTTTACCTGAAATTCTCTATGAATTCACCTTGAATTATCTATTACAGTACTCAGTCCATCCGTAATCCTTACATCTTTATTCACAATTTCATGATTTTTGGAAACATTAAGTAGGGAATTACAAGTGTTTATAGAGACTTTTTCTAATTCAGTTATTTTGGCATTAAATTAAAATTTGTAAAATTTTTTTATTTAAGATGCAATTTATGGGTTTCTTCTTGGGGTTTAAATGCAACGCCAACTACAACACTGAATTAATCCCAATCATACATACTGTGGATCTGCCATGGCGCCAGAAGATGGATCTGCAGAAATACAGGGTTCATAGTTCAGATACACTTGATCCTAATAGAAGGGGGAAAAAATATCCATGGAACCAGTCTGTAGGATAAAACAAAATAAATTATAAACACATAAATACACACAAGAAAAATATCACATAGGTAGTAGTGTATTTGGAACTCATGATAAAGAAACACTATGCCAGGACTCTATGGGTGCAGCCGCTACAAGGACAATTTGAGAAAGCCTGTCAATTACGTGAAACATAGAATGTGATGGCAGATAAGAACCATTCGGCCCATCTAGTCTGCCCAATTTTCTAAATACTTTCATTAGTCCCTATCCTTATCTTATAGTTAGAATAGCCTTATGCCTATCCCACGCATGCTTAAACTCCTTTACTGTGTTAACCTCTACCACTTCAGCTGGAAGGCTATTCCATGCATCCACTACCCTCTGTGTAAAGTAATACTTCCTGATATTATTCTTAAACCCTTTGCCCCTGTAATTTAAGACCGTGTCCTCTTATTGTGGTAGTTTTTCTTCTTTTAAATATAGTCTCCTCCTTTACTGTGTTGATTCCCTTTATGTATTTAAATGTTTCTATCATATCCCCCCTCTCTCGTCTTTCCTCCAAGCTTTACATGTTAAGATCCTTTAACCTTTCCTGGTAAGTTTTATCCTGTAATCCATGAACCAGTTTGGTAGCCCTTCTCTGAACTCTCTCCAAAGTATCAATATCCTTCTGGAGATACGGCCTCCAATACTGCGTGCAATACTCCAAGTGAGGTCTCACCAGTGTTCTGTACAATGGCATGAACACTTCCCCTCTTTCTACTGCTGATACCTCTCGCTATACAACCAAGCAGTCTACTAGCATTTCCGGCTGCTCTATTACATTGTGTGCCTACCTTTAAGTTATTTAAAATAATTACGCCTAAATCCCTTTCCTCAGATGTTGAGGTTAGGACTCTATCAAATATTCTGTACTCCGCCCTTGGGTTTTAAAAACGCGTTAGTGTGTTACTCTTTTATGGTTTTACATTTTATTTTCTTATAAATGTGTTTTTATACACCTAATTTTGGACCTTCCTGATGTCAACCAGAAGATTGTACCAGTAAATTCATTGGTGGGAATTATGCCACCTATGCCATACGGTTGGAACAAAATCTCTTTTGCTCTCCACTTGTGAGTACATCTCCTTTTATTACTTTTACCTATTTTAACAGTGAACACTATATTTTTTATTTCTGTTTTATTCATATATCTCCGGTGAGAATTTGCGGTTATGTAAACCTATAGAGTAGGAACCCCTGTATACCGAAGTGTGTGAACTACCTCATTATATGCGCATCAGAGCTACACTATATTGGTTCTTTTTGTTCTATACCATCCAGGGATCCCCCATTGGCTGAAGAGTCCAAGTATATCCACAGGTGGTGGATTGTACCGCCCAGGCACATACAGTTTCATGAAAAAGTACGTGAACCCTTTGGAATGATATGGATTTCTGCACAAATTGGTCATAAAATGTGATCTGATCATCATCTAAGTCACAACAATAGACAATCACAGTCTGCTTAAACTAATAACACACAAAGAATGAAATGTTGCCATGTTTTTATTGAACACACCATGTAAACATTCACAGTGCAGGTGGAAAAAGTATGTGAACCCCTAGACTAATGACATCTCCAAGAGCTAATTGGAGTGAGATGTCAGCCAACTGGAGTCCAATCAATGAGATGAGATTGGAGGTGTTGGTTACAGCTGCCCTGCCCTATAAAAAACACACACCAGTTCTGGGTTTGCTTTTCACAAGAAGCATTGCCTGATGTGAATGATTTCTCACACAAAAGAGCTCTCAGAAGACCTACGATTAAAAATTGTTGACTTGCATAAAGCTGGAAAGGGTTATAAAAGTATCTCCAAAAGCCTTGCTGTTCATCAGTCCACGGTTAGACAAATGGTCTATAAATGGAGAAAGTTCAGCACTGCTGCTACTCTCCCTAGGAGTGGCCGTCCTGTAAAGATGACTGCAAGAGCACAGCACAGACTGCTCAGTGAGGTGAAGCAGAATCCTAGAGTGTCAGCTAAAGACTTACAAATGTCACTGGCAAATGCTAACATCCTTGTTAGCGAATCTACAATACATAAAACACTAAACAAGAATGGATTTCATGGGAGGATACCACAGAGGAAGCCACTGCTGTCCAAACAAAACATTGCTGCACGTTTACAGTTTGCACAAGAGCACCTGGATGTTCCACAGCAGTACTGGCAAAATATTCTGTGGACAGATGAAACCAAAGTTGAGTTGTTTGGAAGAAACACACAACACTAGGCCATGCGTTTAGACTGGAAGAAAGAAGATTTCGTCTAAGGCAAAGGAAAGTTTTTTTTACTGTAAGAACAATCATAATGTTCAAACAGCTACTAGATGCATACTTGCAAAAACAGAATATTCAAGGATATAATCTTTCAATGTAGGGTAATAACTGCTTGATCCAAGGATAAATCTGACTGCCATTCTGGGGTCAAGAGGGAATTTTTTTCCTAGCTTGTTGCAAAATTGTGCTTCAAACTGGGTTTTTGCCTTCTTTTGGATCAACAGCAAAAAACAAATGAGAGGAAGACTGAACTTGATGGACGCAAGTCTCTTTTCAGCTATGTAACTATGTGTGGTGAAAAAAGGCATAGCACACCAACATCAAAACCTCATCCCAACTGTAAAGTATGGTGGTGGGGGCATCATGGTTTGGGGCTGCTTTGCCATGCGTCAGGGCCTGGACGGATTGCTATCATCGAAGGAAAAATGAATTCCCAAGTTTATCAAGTCATTTTGCAGGAGAACTTATGTCCATCTGTCTACCAGCTGAAGCTCAACAGAAGATGGGTGTTGCAACAGGACAATAACCCAAAGCATAGAAGTAAATCAACAACACAATGGCTTAAACAGAAGAAAATACGCCTTCTGAAGTGGCCCAGTCAGAGTCCTGACCTCAACCCGACTGAGATGCTGTGGCATGACCTCAAGAAAGCGATTCACACCAGACATCCCAAGAATATTGCTGAACTGAAAAACAGTTCTGTAAAGAGGAATGGTCAAGAATTACTCCTGACCGTTGTGCACGTCTGATCTGCAACTACAGGAAACGTTTGGTTGAAGTTATTGCTAAACCAGTTATTAAATCCAAGGGTTCACATACTTTTTCCACCTGCACTGTGAATGTTTACATGGTGTGTTCAATAAAAACATGGCAACATTTCATTCTTTGTGTGTTATTAGTTTAAGCACACTGTGATTGTCTATTGTTGTGACTTAGATGATGATCAGATCACATTTTATGACCAATTTGTGCAGAAATCCATATCATTCCAAAGGGTTCACATACTTTTTCTTGCAGCTGTACATTTGGAGCTAGTTATCATCTCTGGAAAACTGTAAGTGCATTACTTTTTATTTAATTCTCCTGATCTTCAACATACTACACTATATTCTGCACGTTATCCTACTTTCTTTTACAAATTTGCCTATCTGAATTTGGATTGCAGGACATCCCTAAGGTTCTTCCCTCCCCCTTTTATTCTACATATAATCACTCCGAGCTTTAAACACACAAAAGAAAGGGGACTTGGCAGCGACAACCCAGTGACTCGTGTGTTTACCACCACATTCAGACAACTACATGCAAAGAATTTTCACATTCTGCTTTAGTAATCTGATCACGGCAGCAGCTTTACATGCTACTGCCTTGTCCATACTCAACAGTCACAAGAGTAGGTTTGCAGTGGAGATCAAGAAGGGTGCATGTGGGTCCTTTACCCCTTAAGGACCAAACTTCTGGAATAAAAGGGAATCATGACGTCACACGTCGTGTCATTAAGGGGTTAAATTAATTATAGAAGTCCCTGAAAATGACTACATGCTAAGTTTATCCTTAGTGGTTAGTTTGATGTTATTAGTGTCAGGATAATATACATAGTTAAAATATCAAAAATTGTTTAGCTCGGAATGTGCTGCATTTATAATAGAAGAGTGTCATTCATGACAGACCTGCCATTTTAATGGAACTGTTACCCCTTAAGAACACATGACATGTGTGACATGTCATGACTCCCTTTTATTCCAGAAGTTTGGTCCTTAAGGGGTTAAAGTATCCATGTTATTGTGTACTCCTGCACTCACATTGCCATGGCTACAACTTTTGCTGCCAGTCTGGGAGTGGAGGCTGCTACAGTTCACAGCATCTCCAAGGTACACAAGGGTTAAGAGGGATATCATTGCTCTTATGAGTGCAACACCAGAACACGAGGTTTTAAAAATTGCTTTTGGCAATAATGCCATTTTGTCAGTAACTTAATTAATGCTACTGGATCACTCATTGACGTGAACTTTCAATAACTAATGGTAAGCTGTAAATGAATATTGCTGTCATTTACTAAAGTGAAATACTGAGAAAGAAAATGACTAGTTAAATAGCCGGACAGCCACTCAATCAATAACACCACCAAATTCTGAAGGGATGAGATTTTGATTCTGCTAGTTATACGATCTATGGACTGTGCCAATGCTACATTCTGTGAAAGGTTTTTCGCATGTATATATTGTTTCCAAAATAGCCTTGCAATATGAATTTTCCATAAATATTCACAAAAACTGAGACATACATTTACAGCTTAAACTGGAGATTAAGAAGGATTGACAACGGAATTGCAAATTGTAGTCTGAAATAGTTTTCACCTTGGATATCTTGGGTTTAAATGTGCAGTTCTTTACAATTCCCAGTTTAGTAAATATATCCCACATTGTGAAAATAACGCTTGGCAGACATGGCCATTAATCAATTTGCAATGTTGTTGGTTAATAAACAAACAAAAAAACATGATGTACATTATATATTTTACTACAACTACAAGGCTATAGCTGTCAACACCTAGTCATCTCCCTTTCCCAATCTTGCATTATTGCCATAATTTCTACAGCTTCTCCCTCCCTACAACAACCTAACTGTACCCACTCACTCATTCAGCTTTCGCTACCATCCATTTCACCTCCCAATACCTACAGCAGTAACTATTATCACTTCAGCTGTCATAAACTGCAAGTCTCATGATGACCAGCCAGTCCCGTGGGCTCCCAGAACATCTTGTGACCCACAGTCTGGGATACCTGAAGTGTCAATAATTAGAAATGATTGATCTACAGATTTTGAGTTAACGTGAACTCATCAGCAATATAAAAAGACTTGTGTTTTATTCACCAAAATGTTACTATTATTTTTATTGCCTCCTCTAAATGTGACCCTATCCATAACCCAGGTATTCTCTATCCTACCACCAAAAGCTATTATTATTACTACACCTTGCTCCATTGGTTTCCTCTCAATATTTCCATGAATAGCTTGGCTCCTTGCTTTAATAGAGAGCCCCTTCTCTTCCTGCATGTAGGAGAGACCTTGCAGAGGTAATTGCAGAAGGTTATAATAATTATTACAGTTATGCAGGCTCAGGCTTGCATTATGCATTTTTAATGAGTGACATGCATTATAAAAGCAGCCATATTGCCCACTGCCCATCACATTCTATGTAACTGCTTTATCTCTCTCCCTGTGCAGCCATGCCCATAAATGACCAGCTATACCCACTGCCCATCTCTTTCTATGTAACTGCTTTATCTCTCTCCCTGTGCAGCCATGTCCATCACTGAACAGCTATACCCACTGCCCATCTCTTTCTATGTAACTGCTTTATCTCTCTCCCTGTGCAGCCATGCCCATCTCTGCCCAGCTGTACCCACTGTCCATCTCTTTCAATGTAACTGCTTTCTCTCTCTCCCTGTGCAGCCGTGCACATCACTGCCCAGCTATACTCACTGCCCATCTCTTTCTATGTAACTGCTTTATCTCTGTCCCTGTGCAGCCATGCCCATCACTGACCAGCTATACCCACTGCCCATCTCTTTCTATGTAACTGCTTTCTCTCTCTCCCTGTGCAGCCATGCCCATAAATGACCAGCTATACCCACTGCCCATCTCTTTCTATGTAACTGCTTTATCTCTGTCCCTGTGCAGCCATGCCCATCACTGACCAGCTGTACCCACTGCCCATCTCTATGTAACTGCTTTATCTCTGTTCCTGTGGAGCCATGCCCACCACTGACCAGCTATACCCACTGCCCATCTCTTTCTATGTAACACTGCTTTCTCTCTGTCCCTGTGCAGCCATGCCCATCACTGACCAGCTATACCCACTGCCCATCTCTTTCTATGTAACTGCTTTCTCTCTCTCCCTGTGCAGCCATGCCCATAAATGACCAGCTATACCCACTGCCCATCTCTTTCTATGTAACTGCTTTATCTCTGTCCCTGTGCAGCCATGCCCATCACTGACCAGCTGTACCCACTGCCCATCTCTATGTAACTGCTTTATCTCTGTTCCTGTGGAGCCATGCCCACCACTGACCAGCTATACCCACTGCCCATCTCTTTCTATGTAACACTGCTTTCTCTCTGTCCCTGTGCAGCCATGCCCATCACTGACCAGCTATACCCACTGCCCATCTCTTTCTATGTAACTGCTTTCTCTCTCTCCCTGTGCAGCCATGCCCATAAATGACCAGCTATACCCACTGCCCATCTCTTTCTATGTAACTGCTTTCTCTCTGTCCCTGTGCAGCCATGCCCATCACTGCCCAGCTATACCCACTGCCCAGCTATACCCACTGCCCATCTCTGCCCAGCTATACCCAGTGCCCAGGCTCTCTCCCCCATCTTGGGTCCAGGCTTCCCACAATGCATTGCACTCCTGCCAGCTCCAGCCTTTTTACAGGCCGTGTAATAATGTAAGTACCCAGGTGCCCTCTGCTGTCCGTGCCACCCCCGCTGGTACTGCCCTCTGCCATATTTGATTGCCCCCTTTCCCCCACGCCTCCCCTTACACGGTCCCGCGCATCCTCCACCGTCTCCTTGGAAACCGCGACTCCGCCGCAGAAGCCGACACTGAGTCAGCACCAAGTGACGGGGACGCCCAGCCAATCAGCGAGCACGCCGGGCTGTCACTGAGGCTCGCGCCGCGCGATGACTGAAACACGCCAGGTTCACCTGAGGTTAGTGCCACCGCGGGTTCTAAACGCCAGAGCCTCGAGGCTTGCAAAAAAATATGTCGCCCCGACTTCGGCGTGCGCTTTAACTCTGGTGTTTAAATCCGTGGCATGGCTTTAAAATATATATATATTATTTATTTATTTTTGCCAGGTTCCACCAACATTTCATGGACTGTGTTGCAGCTTTTTGTACGAAAGTATACGGCACATGAAAAGTGCTGCCTGCAGTATGTAGAATTTATTTGGTTCCTGCAGGAATTTAATGTATTATTTAATACAATACAATCCCCTTCTCAGTGGTCTTACGTGTTCCCAGATTGCACCGCTGCAATCTATAATGAATGCGGCGGCGAGGCTCAACTTCCTTTCCCCCCACGTCTCCCCCCTCTGTCAGTCCCTGCATTGGCTTCCAGTTAGATATAGGGCTCAACTTAAGATTCTGGTGCTTGCTTACAAATCTCTACACAATGCTGCTCCGACCTACCTATCCTGCCTAATACACAAGTATGTCCCGTCGAGGCCCCTACGCTCTGCCAAAGACCTACGTATATCCTCTGTCCGTACTCACACCTCTAACGCTCACCTCCAAGACTTCTCCAGAGCTGCACCTTTTCTGTGGAACTCCCTTCCCTTCTCCGTTAGACTTTCACCCAGTCTCCACTTCTTCAGGAAAGCAGAACATTTAAGCTGTTAGCGGGTTTTCATCCCCCATCCTCCATGACTCCTTCTGCAATGGTCAAAAATAACCTACTAAGCCCTCAGTGTATACTTTTCTAACATAGTACAGAAAAGGATCTGTGCTCTCTATCTAGACGACACAAAACAAAGGTAACGGCAGCACACCTAAAAATAGGGCTCCCTCACCGGCCCTGTAACATAGACAGAGGAAAATAGATGGAGGAAAGGTAGCGCTACTAAAACAGAAAAAAAATTATAATAAACTGGTATCAAATAGAACAAAATAAAATAGCAGAATAAGTACACAATAAGTAAAAAGTCTATGGGGTAGGGACGTCCAAAGTGAAACCTGTCTATAGAAAGATGGACAACAGTCTTGATAGTAGGAGTATTCCTCACTGTGTCATAGGTGAATCCTTGAAGTTCATGTGAAATAGAATAAAATATAACAACTAATGGTGCAGTATGTCCCAAGTAGAGGTTGAATAATAATACAGTATAGAAGATCTAAATGGTCCTACTCACGTTTAATAGAGCTATCTACTTAGCTCTAGTGTGGATTGCGTACAGTGGTACAATCCCCACTTAAAGGATACGTGAAGTATTTCTAGTCTTGCTTGATGTAGGGACCATATGAAAATATAAAAAAAAAAACAGGTGTGATAAAATACCAAGTGTTTACTCACTTTTGATTAAGCAGGCTGACTGCTCAATGAATACAGCTTGAGTGGTATAATCCCCACCTAGGATTCTTTGGAGTAATATCCTCATTGGAAAATTAAAAAGATCTGGTACCAGGTAAAAAGGGATGGTCATAATAACAAATAAAAATATAATATGATAAAAAAGTAAAATGGGGCCCAAGAGTCTGACCACAGAGCCGTGCAGACGCCTCTGCCACGAGCTCCGACCCGGTGAGCGAAACCCGGGGTAAAAGCGACGGCTAACAAGCCCACAAACATCGGAGGGTGCACTACCTACGTTGGGGGTGCCCCCCTGAGCACAACGATACCACCCCGTTACCTGTCGACACTGGGAAAGCTGAGACTCAAATGCGGCCTACTGGGGCTAAAGCAGAGGGGAGACGGCCGTTCTCCTCGGCGCAAAAGCCCACAACCGACTACACAACAGCCTACCCCCCCCCCCCCTGTGGACCGGTGGGGGACATCCAGGTCCCAACTGCTTACCAGCCACAAGACATGACCGGGCAACGGACCTGCGAGGTCCAGCCAAAATGGCCGCCCAACCTGAGCTGATCAAGCGGAGCACCCGCTTCAAGACGCACATGACCCCTATAGCAATATTCAACTGGATTTACGCTGGTCTCAGGGTAGTGCTACAAAACCTCATGGATACAACCAGCAACGCGGCGCAGGTACTACAAACAGGTACCCCAAGTAACCAAGATGGCCGTCAGGCAAAATAGACCCCGGAGGGCCTCGGGGCGGGATACGGCACCAGGCCTCTCGGACACACTCTCTCACCCGCACATAAACAAAGCCGGGACCCTAACTCCAGCGACGCACGCTACTAAAGCACCTGACCTTATTCCTGGCTATCGGCACAGAACCAAGCGCCTCTCCCCAACCAATACTGCGGTACGAGCGACTGTGAAACGGCACACCACAAAGAGACGCCCTGAAGCTGACCCCCGAAATGGAAACACCGGACCCCGCGACCACTATTAAGGGACTCATAACAACAGCCCAAGGGTCCTGCCAAGGCTGGGCATAGGCTGAAGCGCCTATCCTACTGCTTCACAAGGGTGATTATACACTGGTCCGTCCAGAGTACACAATCCAGCTGAATACCCGGACCCTGAAGCATACTACAAGCCCCGAACGGACTATGCTCATAGTTTCTCATGGACTGGCGGTAATAATATTAACACTGATGAAACCCACTCCTGACGGTCCCTTGGACAGTTAAATTTGATGAAACAGTTAATGTGCATGCTTAGATTAAGTAATAATTAACCAGCAAAGTATAATCTTAATGTTGGCGCTGCTTGTATGTTATGTCTTATATCTCTCAGCTACTCACACCTCAAAGCTAGCATAAAAAGCGACTAATACATCACCGCATAGGCAGACAAATGTAATGTAACAGCCTAGCAGGATCATATCAGAATAATCTTATATGCACATTCTCTGCACAAGCTATGGTTCCCTCTTTTGTCTCTCCTCTACCTATTGCTCCATGACTTGTGCATTATGTTAACATAGTTAAAAAGAAAAGTGAACCTAAACTACTGTACTAGAGATCATATTAATACTATAAAAATGTGCCTGTATACCGAATGCCATGAAATGTAATACCGATGTTTAACTATTCTACCGGATGTCGCTGTTGTGACGGACACCAGCGATTTGTTTATTTCGTGCACATCAAAAATAAAGAATAAAAAAAAAAAAAAAGTAAAATGGCTAACTCGCAGACAGAAAGTGGCCAAAATACCTTTATTAAAAAATACTGTTATATTGAAATACCACAACGCGTTTCACCCTTTAGGCTTTTTCAAGTGGAGATCAGAAAGTATAACCTGGCAGACAGAAGTCTATTATAGGTATAAGTAGGTTATACTTTCTGATCTCCACTTGAAAAAGCCTAAAGGGCAAAACGCGTTGTGGTATTTTACTATAACAGTATTTTTTAATTAAAAGCTCAAAAGCTATAATGAGACAAAATACACTACTACTTTATCATATAGTAAAATCCCAACTTGACAAAACTTGACAACAACATCAGATGTGACGGCAGATAAGAGCCATTCGGCCCATCTTGTCTGCCTGGTTTTCTTAATACTTGCATTAGTCTCATATCTAGGATAACTTTATGCCTATCCCACGCATGCGTAAAGGGATTCTCTAGTGCCAGGAAAGGAAACCCGGGTTTCTAGAATCTTACAGTGACCCCTCCCTCCTGAACCCATCCGACGTCGCTGAAGGGGTTAATCCCTTCAGTCACTTACCTGAATTCAGCAGCCGCGCTCGCATTAGGATTTCCCAATAGGAAAGCATTATGGTTTCCTATGGGGATTCCGGTGACAGTGGAAGTCATCATGTATAGCGTGAGGACATCCAGCGTAGTTTAGACAAACAAAAGTCGTCTAAGCATCCGGAAGTCCCTCTAGTGGCTCTCTTGTAGACAGCCATTAGTGGAGGACTTACCCTGCAAGGTAATTATTGCAGTTTCTCAGAAACTGCAATAATAACCACTGTAGGGTTAAGTGACATGGTACATTGCACAAAGACCACTTCAATGAGCTGAAGTGGTCAGGGTGCCTACAGTGTCCCATTAAACTCCCTTACTGTGTTAACCTTTACCACTTCAGCTGGAAGGCTATTGTATGCATCCACTACCCTCTAAGTAAAGTAAAATTACCATCTTAGGTCTTTTCAAAAGCAGCAAAGACCCCAGAAGGAAATAAAACTGCTATGAATTAATATACACTGCTCAAAAAAATAAAGGGAACACAAAAATAACACATCCTAGATCTGAATGAATTAAATATTCTTCTGAAATACTTTGTTCTTTACATAGTTGAATGTGCTGACAACAAAATCACACAAAAATTTAAAAATGGAAATAAAATTTTTCAACCCATGGAGATCTAGATTTGGAGTCACACTCAAAATTAAAGTGGAAAAACACACTACAGGTTGATCCAACTTTGATGTAATGTCCTTAAAACAAGTCAAAATGAGGCTCAGTAGTGTGTGTGGCCTCCACGTGCCTGTATGACCTCCCTACAATGCCTGTGCATGCTCCTGATGAGGTGGCGGATGGTTTCCTGAGGGATCTCCTCCCAGACCTGGAATAAAGCATCTGCCAACTCCTGGACAGTCTGTGGTGCAACGTGACGTTGGTGGATGGAGCGAGACATAATGTCCCAGATGTGCTCAATTGGATTCAGGTCTGGGGAAGGGGCGGGCCAGTCCATAGCATTAATGCCTTCGTCATGCAATAACTGCTGACACACTCCAGCCACATGAGGTCTAGCATTGTCTTGCAATAGGAGGAACCCAGGGCCAACCGCACCAGCATATGGTCTTACAAGGGGTCTGAGGATCTCATCTCGGTACCTAATGGCAGTCAGGCTACCTCTGGCGATCACATGGAGGGCTGTGCGGCCTCCCAAATAAATGCCACCCCACTCCATTACTGACCCACTGCCAAACTGGTCATGCTTGAGGATGTTGCAGGCACAGAACGCTCTCCACGGCGTCTCCAGACTCTGTCACGTCTGTCACATGTGCTCAGTGTGAACCTGCTATCATCTGTGAAGAGCACAGGGCGCCAGTGGC